TCTGCCTGAGAGATCAATGCATTTCGTACGGACAAGGTAAGATGTCGGGTGATTAGGAATTGCAACACTTTTTTATGGTTCTGCTCTTCCCTTCTCCACCACAGAAAGGAGAAGACTTTAGCCAGGTGCGTTTCCTCCTCATCCCTTTCTTTTTTTTCTTTTCACAATTCTCTCTGTCTGTGTTTTCACTCTTTATGACGGCTGCTGGGTTGTCCCAATAGTAGCTGTTGTTATATACTGGCATGTGGCTCGCTAGGCCAAAGGGCCTGAAGAAGTACAGTACTATCAACTGTTTACTCTTTTCAAACACTTTTTCTTCCCAGAGTTCCATCAAGGGTCTGTTTCTCTCCCCTTTACAAGAGGAGAAGCCGTTGTCAGTTGTCCGAGCCTCCATCTTCTAGTCTTCTGGACGATGGATGCATGCATGCTTGATTCAACCCAACCCCATTGGGTAAAAGGGGTTTAATCAATATGCATTCTGCACCCTCTCCCGCTCCACATGGGGATCGCTGTGCCCGGGAGGGGGGTTTGATGGATTGTACTAGCAGCTAAAGGGAGACCCCCAGAGGGACAGAGACGGTCTCTCTCAATGTGGGGGAGTTTTATATGAGTATGTGTGTCTGGGGCCTTTTCCCACTCCCTCTCCTCACCTGCAGCTACAGTATATTGGCGGCGATGGGTTAGGAAGTCAAGCAGTAAGTAAGTGATTGTGTGAGTCATTCAGCCTACTTACTCGGAGCCATGCTGCTGAGGTCCTGGCCATGATTTGCCTGATTTGTTAGGGCTTAGGCATTGCCCACCTAGGTACTCACTCGCTCACTCACTCGCTATATTATTCCGGCTAAAGCAGAGATGGGGCTCCGGGTCAGCCATACGCAGCTTAGTCTGGGGCCAGTCTGGGGCCAGTGTGAATGGCATGAGCCAGACAAAGCACAGCCAGCCTACTCAGTAGGGGGAATAGCATTTAATTGTTTGGGCAGGTGAAGAGAGTTGTGTCTCGATGACAGCGGTTGACCTCGCCACCATGGGTCCCCTAATGCCCTTCTTTCCTCCTCCAAGTCTTTAACTACACCCAGGCCCACCAACCGAAAAGAAATGGTAAATCCAGGGCTCGACTCGTTACGAGTCAATGGCTGGCATCTATCTACTAGGTAGGCACCGGGCGGATTTCGAGTTCCTAATCTATCCCCTGTGAGTTAGATTTGACCTTCAGTCCACGAAACTGGTTACACGATTATCGCGAGGTTCAGGTGTCACGATCTCTGATCCTCCCACTTGGCTGTGCCTTCAATTGAAGAGTTCTCGCTCGTGGGGGTTTTTCGAGATTCTAATGAATCCTGGCCGAGAGAAGTTGCCGCCCAGCACCACCAGGGTTCGGCGAAACAGTGATAGGGAGGAATTGCGGTAAGGGACCAGGGCCAGTTGGGGGGTGGAGTGGTCCAGGCTCCACGTTGGAAAGTTGCGGACCGCAGCTACTACTCGTATGGCACCGGCAACGCAGTCAACTCAGGAAGCTTGGTACTTATTTATGTATCCTTTGTGAGAGCTGAACCTTAAAGTGGCCGTGGATGAGATCGACAGAGTCTCAGCTGACTGATAGAGCCACATAAAGCCATAGGCCTCTAGAATTAGGCAAAGGCATGCTCCAGGATTCTGAGGCAGAGAGCAGCCTCCCGACCATCCACCTATTCATTGATGATTCGGCAGAAGAGCTGGGGCCTTGGTGCCTTTGCGGCTGGTTTCCGAAAGTCGCTGATACCTATGAGATGGCCAATCTCTATCTCAGTCTTGACAACCGTGCTTCGAAAACAGGGAAAGCACACTCAGGGATATCTCGAGCTGGAGGGTTAGAAATTGAATGGCTCAAAGATATGGTTGGACAGTGAGCTGCTGAATCTTCAGCCAGCCACCGAGTACGGGTCTGTCGTGCTGATTGTAGGCTGGGCACCAGTCCGTGGTGCAGGTGGCAAACGTCCGACAGTATGCTTCTTACCTGCATCTTGCGGCAGCTGCGAGTCGCTGCATTGGGCTCAGTTGAGACCGTGTTTTGCGAAATTAATGGATTCCTCGTCGAGAGATGACCATGCAAGCGTGTTGAAGCCAACGTCTTTGTTGAGAAAGAAGCTCCTGGCGCTCCTGTAGTTTGGAAATGTGTCATTTAGCTCGAATGCATGATGCCACCGTGACTCTGAGAGCGGGCTCATCCTGCTTCCAGCAGACTTTCCATCTCGACGAATCAACCTGCCGTAATGGATTGACACAGGTAGGGTCGTCCGCAGACAGGACAGGAGTATGACCAGGGTCCCAGCTCACGCTACGGAGTTCCCATGCACGCCCAAGCGCCCATGGTTGCATTATGCGCATCGCCGATCAGTAAGGTAAAATGGAGACCGAGCACTCGAGAGGCTCCAATATGGCTTGGTGATTTTGTGCATCCTTGATTCCTTGGATGCTGAGCCATTGGTGACCCCATGGTGTTCTGTCACTGCATGTACTTGCTTTAGTGACCACCTCAAGGCGTCCACGTCGTAAACGTCGTTCTAGCTCACAGGTTTGCTCGGCTCCGCACAGAAGCAGAGATCAGGCCGTGGTCGCGGCCCCTCTAGTATCTCTGCAATATCCTGACTAGACTGACTGCAAGATTCGTGGACGAAGGCAGGTTACTCACCTGTAGATGGTGCCTGAGTTTGCCAGAAGTATTCATCACGAAACGTGGAAAGTCGGTAGCTCATTCCCATGCAGGCAGAATCAAAACTTCAATGCTCCGTGCGGAAGAAGGTGCACGGGTAGTCTTGATAGGATATCCACCTCAATAATAGCCCCCCCAACATTTCGTATTTCGTTCAGGAACTCTCTCTTCCTAGCGGAAGCCACAGGACGGGATTTCAGGCCGAGCACCATCCCTTTCTGTCAATTACAACGCTGCTTTGTAGCCCTTCACCGCCTTTTCCTCTCCCACAGTCGAAACATGTCAAACGACCGGGACCACTGCGCATGGCCATTATCAAGAGGCCGCCAGTCCTAGGGAGGTACGCTTTACTCAACCTGAGGGGAGCACGATTTGGTGCGGCCTGAGGGAGGTCTGTGGGGTGGCGTCACCAATGGGTCGCGGATATGGCTCTGATAGGGCTGAGATGTGGATAGGAGATCTGCCCTCTTGGAGTGGCTGACGCCGGCTCAGTTGGAGACCTTCAGCATCTCAATTCTCAGCTCATATCGTTGAGTGATGGGCCCAGTGCGACCTTCAAGCCAAGAGAACATCCGGCAGACAGCTTCGGCACAGAAAGGTAGATGAACGATAGGACAAGGGAAGCGCGTTGAGGATCTCTGAGCAGGGAGACGTCAAGCTTTGATGGAAAAGCCCACTGGGTCTGATGATCGCCAGCTGGCGGTTCTAGCCCCCACGAAGCGAGTGAGCTTGGTCGCGCCCCGGAAATGGCCGGTCATGTCCAGCCTAATGGATGCAAAGTCAAATTCAACTGATAAAAGATGTTGAGACCAGGTGATGGATGCTTCGAACGCTCAAATCTGCTTCAAATCACTGCCTCGAATGAAATGTTTATCGAGCAATGGTATTTCTCAGCATTTCTCGGTGAAAGAGGTGGGTGCCAACTTCCCCTTTTCCACGCGAGCCTCGCAGCCTTTCCAGAGGCAGGGGCTGCTTGACGATGCTTCACAGGTGAGCCCTCCTAGGGTTGTCGTTGTCCCGGTCTGGAAGAGTGCTTACCGATTGACTTTAGCTGGGGAGAAGTCGTTCTCTTACTCCTCTTTTCTCGAGCTGGCTGCTTAGGAACTGAGCGACACAGTACGCTCTTGCTCCCTAACATGTATGCCGGAGACAGACTGTTCGGAAAGACGTGCTTTCAACCCGTTGTTGAAGGGAGAGCCGCTAGTTTCAACCTTCATGCTGCCCTTAAACGCACTGCATGTGAACTTGGACCTCATCTGTAACTCTTTACATGTCCAACACGTCCCCTTCCCAACAGTCAACCCCACCAAATGAAGGCACATTGTTCGCCTTAGAGAAGGACGCTACTCATGACATCGCCTTAAACATCTCACTAATCCAGAAACTCGTCAAATTGTTATCGTCTATGAGACGCTTCAAATCCTATACCGAGTCCCTCTGCTCAGGACATGTACTGACGTCGAAAAATGGCTACGAGAGAGCCTCCATTGAGCTGCTTTAGGTTTCCTATGTTCTTATATTCTGATGTGCATGGAGATCTGCCAGGCGCTGTATTCAGCTGATCTGCGACCACGGCGCTATTTACACTGACACACCGGCACAACGTGCTCTCTGCCAGACTTATTACAATCATAACACAGCCCTGGCCGGGGAACGAAAACACTCACTTGTTACGACTGTCCCTTCATCATCGACAATGAACAGCCTCCTCTCTAGAGTATGGAAATACGATACTCGACCGATGCCCATTCGAATGCAAGAGTTCGAAGGCAGTTTGGCTTCTCCTCCGATGTCCGAGAGTAACAAGGGTGTTCCCAGACAAACGACTCCATCAAGGTTTGGAAAAGGACTCGGAACTGTGTTGACCCAGGTCCATAACTGAGACATTCGACCGAACGATGCCTCCTGGCGTGTGCCTCTTTTGAATGGTATCGCGGATGGTCGGAGGGTCGGAGGCTACTTTGCGATGACTGATATACTGGCAGTGATGCTTAGGCTTTTGTTCCGCCGTATACTAGTCCAAAGGCGGTTATGTCTGGCGGTACAGGCATCATGACAATACGAATGGAAGTTAGTACGTTTCCACCTACTGAGCACCCATTGGCAGACGATACTCACTAGACTTCTCCTGTTTGACGGTTTCTATCCTGCTTGGAGCAATGGTCATCCCAAGCAACAACGACCGAATGTTCAGGCAGTCCATAGCCCATGTTACTGCTGAAGCATTTATAGTGAGTGGGTGCGCCTCTTTACATCCCTCTGCTTCATCTTCGCTTGGTTTGTCCTTGCAACTCGCATACTTCTATTCACCATGGTCGAGTTGGATGTTGTCCGCAGCTTGAACAGTTCTCTGGTCCAGAGTCAACCTTTGGTGGCCGTCTTCTTCGGCGGCACTGGCGGTATTGGACAGTTTACACTTCGCGCATTAGCCGCTGCTGAGGCAAAGGGAGGGAAAGGGCTACGAGCATACATTGTCGGGAGAAATGCCAAAGCAGCTGAAGGGATCCTCGCCGACTGCCGTGCCGTCTACCCGCAGGGCCAGTTCAAGTTCATCAAGGCCAATGACCTCTCTCTGATCAGCGATGTCGATCGACTTTGCGCAGAGCTCACGGAGCTGGTGGAAAAGGAGACTCCGGATCCGAGGATTGACTACCTCATGGTATCCCAAGGCGGGATGCCCTTCCAACCACGGAAAGGTATACATCTAGATGTCTGCAAGGTTTGCACGATGTAGCTGCCCGCTTCTGACGACTCGACAGATACGAAAGAAGGGATCGACGTGACCATGTCGCTGATGTACTATTCTCGCATGAGAATCATCACCAAGTTGCTCCCACTGCTCCTCAACTCACATCTCCCGGCGACGGTCGTCTCGGTCTACGCGGCGGGGATGGAGAAGAAACTGTATGCGGACGACCTGTCCCTTCGCGATTTGAAACGGTACAGCTATTCCCAAGCCCGAGACCACATGTGTTACATGCACACGCTGTTCATGGAGAGCTTGGCTCAGCAGCACCCGGGGAAGCTCACCCTCATCCACATCTTCCCGGGCCTTGTCATCGGACCGGGGTTCCATAGCACGGAGCTGCCGAGATGGTTCCGCATCCTCTTCCACTGGTTCGTCTTGCCGCTCTTTGGGCGGTTCATCACCGTGCCGACGGGCGAGTGTGGAGAGCGAATGCTGTCTCTGGCATCATCCGAGCGGTATCCGCCTCGACCAACCACGGACAGCTCCCAGAGCAAAAGGGAAGGGGCGGCCATCGTGGGAACAGAAGAGACGCCGGGAAGTGGAGTTTATTCACTCACCTGGAATGGCGAGAGCAACTTCAAGGCGAAAGCGTACAAGGAGATCAACAAACAGGAGATGAGGAAGAAGGTCTGGGACCATACCATGAAGTGTTTCGAGGTTGTTGAGGCAGGCAAGGTCTTTACTGAGTGAAGGGGGATTGGGAAAATGGCAACTCGAAATGAAACCAATGCCACGAGCTATATTGAACGTCTAGGGAAGTTGGTATCTGTACTATTGCTGTAGAGAAATGCGAAAAGGCTTGAATGCCTGCCCAGCTGCGAGGTTGTGACAAACCCCTGCAGACCTGAGCGGCACCCTGCTTGCAACAGATTCGGATTCGGCGCTGTATTCAGTGACTCAACCGAGGGCTCCCACTGCCGGGACCGCTGCAGGTGCAAGTCCATTTGCGTGCCCGTTCTGGGTGGGTTTCAGCTCGCAATAGACCTTGGTGGCTCTCTGCTTGGCCTCCCCAAAAGGCTTGACCTTCTTCTTGACACCGTCAACCTCGACCTCTTCCTCATAGTCCTGCGTGTTGAACTCGGCGACGATGGTGCTTTTGAAAGGTGCCGGGGGCTGGGACCACACTTTGGTGACGGCGTCGGCGAGACATTCGATCTGGATGCCGCGGAACCCCTGCTCGGCGGCGTAGCGCATCAGGAATTGGGCCAGGGCCTTCATGATGCCATTCCCCTCTGCGTCGTGTCGGGTGCTCGTGGCGTTGCGCATCAGGACCTGTTTCTCCCCCGTAGGTTTCCAGCTGGCGGCCTCGCGAGGGTCCGACTCCTCGAGCACGTGGTAGACGGCGCCAAACAGCGGGAGGCACTCGATCAAAGGCATGATCTTCTCCATGTCCAGTTCGTGCAGTCCGTCGTACGCCAGCGCAACGCTGACCAGCGGGAAGTCCATCTGCTGCAGGAGCTGATCTTGGTCGAGCGTCTCGTCCTTCAAGTCCCAGTACAGTTTCCCGCCAGTCGATTTCGACTCGTCTCGCTTGAACTTGTACTCCAGGTCGAAGACGCCAAAGCTGTGGCCTGACTCGATCTGATGGCGGATCAGGTAGTCCACCGCACCGAATCCCCGGTAGAGCCGTGCCGTCTTCGCTTCCGGGTAACACACCGGCCACACTGGGGAGTAGAACATGTTGGAGTGGAGCACGATCGCCTTGACCCACTCGATATGCTCCTCTGTCAGTCTCCGGATCTCATAGCGAGGTGGGAGGTTTGTGGGGTTTGTAGCGGTCGCGGCGGAGAGTTTGGTCATGTTGAAGAAGCGGCTTTCTTTTGTTTTGCTGGGAAAGGATAAGAGGGTGGTCTCGACGGGCGAAGACGAAGGCGCACACCACATATATAGCTTTGTTAATCCCCGCGCATTGACTTGGAATCAGCTTACCTCAACGCCCCGTACCCGCAATCCATTCGAATGTTTACAGGCTGCACGAAGCTCCCAACCGAATGTAACAGAGCCTAACGTAGCTACTGACCGTATCTCAAAGCTGGGGCTTAACTTTTTATGGCCACAGTCTGACACGCCCCTGGCCACGTACGACGTCTATTGGAGGCCCGAATGGACATTTCAGGCAGGTAGTGAACCACGAAGGATGGAGAACATGTCAGCAAAGATTTGGGGCTCTTTGTCACCCCCTTTTAGGCCTCCCACTGTTAAACGCGCGTGGAGAGATCCCGAGATCAATATAGGGGAGCCGACAGGAGGAAGAGCCTTGAAGGAGCCGCCTATGTTGTTCTAGGGCAAGAGCTCGTTTGCCACGCTCGAAATGGGGAAAGGCCAGGTAAGAAGGTAAGAGAATTGAAGGTGAGAAAACCATCAAAGCGCATCTCACTCGAGTTGGAAAGGAACGCCACACATTCCCAAACTAAGGTAGGCAGGCGCGTCGCCACTCTACGGTAAACCATATCTCGCCTTTGTATACTTGCTCACTTGACCCAGAGTGGCGTCACTGGCTCATCTTGCACGCTTGTGTAAGAGAAAAAGTCAATTTGGCTGTGTTACTCGCAGTTTCTGACACAAGCGGCGGAAAGTCTGCTTGTCAGCCTGTATCCGTCTGGCGAAGACACTATATCTCTATATTGGGGAGCCACTGGTGCTGACCAATGCGAGTACGCCCTGAAGAAGTACCTTGATCTGGGGATGAGTGAATGAATGAAGGATTCGATCGAACTCGAGATGCCCAAGGGCGTTGTCTATCATCGAGAACAAGCTGGGCCCGGCACCAGCGCGCAGGCTTCTTCGCTGCACCAATACAGTCAGCCTCCTCGCGACGCGACATTCGAGACCGTGCAGCTGTTTGCTCAGTCGCATGGGCTCACGCGACATCTCGACATCTTACATAAAGCTGCGTCCATACTTCAAGATCCACCTCCTAGACAACCCCAGCCGCTTTCCGAGTCAGAACTACAGGCTCTGCAGGACGAGACGGCGCGAAAATGGCGCCAACCCAAGATGCTCTATTTCACCATCCTGGTGTGTTCGGTGGGCGCCATAGAACAAGGCTGGGCACAGACAGGCATGAATGGCGCCAACCTGTACTTCCCAAAGGCATTCGGCATCGGGTCGAATAGCAAACACGACACTTTCATTGTCGGCTTGATTAACAGCGGCATCTATCTCAGCACAGGAGTCCTGTGAGTGTCCCTGCTCATGCTCGCCCGGCTGGCTGACCACGTTCTGATTTGTATAGAGGTGCCTGGCTATCGGACCCCGTCAACAATCTGCTAGGTCGGCGTGGTGCAGTCTTCTTGGGAAGCGTTCTCTGCCTCGTTGCCAACCTAGGGTCCTCTATGAGCAAGACCTGGCCACAGTTATTGATTTTCCGCTTCATCCTGGGTGGTGGCCTAGGTATCAATGCGAGCACTGTATCTGTGTATGCTGCTGAATGTGCTCCTACCGTAAGGAACCCCCAGACCCTTGGATACGCTGACCTTGGCGGTGCTTATCCCTTCCGACCCTCCACTGTTGGTGATCTGGACTAACAGTTGCGCAGGTGATTCGCGGCGGTTTAGCGGTGTCCTGGCAGATGTGGACGGCCTTTGGACTGTTCTTGGGGTTCATTGCCAACGCCGCCGTCTACAGCGTACGTTCAACTTTTCAGAGGCTCGTTGCATAACAGGACGAGGCTGACTACCCATTAGTATGGCGACATTGCCTGGAGACTCCAACTTGCAGCTCCTTTCATCCCAACCATACCTTTGTTGGTGATGTTGTATATGTGCCCCGAATCGCCAGCATGGTATCTGAAACATGGAGACCGCTATGATCTCGCATTCCAATCACTCTGCAGATTGCGGAACAACGAGTTGCTGGCAGCAAAGGAGCTGTATGCCTCGCATCTCCAGAGGATGGCAAGATTGAAGATTGCGGACGAGAACGACGGTTCCTTCCTGCGCAAGGCTTTGGAACTGTTCACCGTGCCTCGCATCAGGCGAGCCACTACCGCATCCTACGTCGTGATGCTTTCTCAGCAGCTGTGCGGCATCAACATCATAGCCTTCTATTCATCAACAATCTTCTCGGACGCGGGATTCTCTGACTTCAATGCCCTACTCGCATCCTGCGTATTTGGGTTCATCAATTTTCTCGGAGCCTTCCCCGCAATATGGACCATGGATACTCTTGGGAGGAGATCGCTTCTCCTTCTGACCTTGCCACCAATGGCAGTAACCATGCTGGCGGCCGGTCTGAGTTTCAACATTCCTGCCGACAATCCTCTGCACTTCGGACTACTTGCGACCTTGATATATGTTTTCTGCGCCTTGTATTCGCCGGGAATGGGGCCGGTTCCGAACAGCTACTCTGCAGAAGTGTTCCCCTTGTCGCATCGGGAGATTGGCATGAGTTTTGCGGTGGCTACGGCGAACTTTTGGGCCGCCATCTTGTCCTTGACGTTCCCGCGAATCCTTACAGCCCTCCAGTCTCAGGGTGCTTTTGCTTTGTACGCAGGACTGAACGTGGTGGCAGTGGTTCTTGTCTTCCTCTTTCTACCAGAGACTCGCTTGAAAACACTGGACGAGCTAGACGAAGTCTTTTCTGTTCCCACGAGGACGTTTGTGAAGTACCAGACGACCGAGTTCTTGCCATGGCTGGTGAAACGCTATGTCATGCGGGACAAGGAAGCCGATCTGGCACCTCTGGCTGTCGACGGAGGGTATCAGGAAATCGGACAAGACGATGATGAGCCCGAGACATAGGACATGGCCCGGCTCAAAGAGGGCATACAGGACATGAGGCCCTCGTTGAGGTAGAATTGAGTGAAACGTTACCTAGGTACCTAGCGAGCTAGATACCAGTGAGCAGCCACTACTCGGTACCTCCGTACTTCTACTCGACCGTAGCCGATAAGCAATGCTCGGCCGTAGATGGCCCACTGATAACGATGGAGGTGCAGCTTCACTCAGAGTGGATTTTTGGGGGCCAGCTTGGGCCAGCTGCAACTTTCTTCTTTCGTCTTCCGTCTGGACATCGTCGTCGGCCTCCTCCGACCGACTTGGGACCCAGCGGCGGCATATTTATTTGATCTCTGTGCACCGCAGAGTCCCTGCAGCGCAACCTACTGCGCCCGTACCGTACTCAGCACTGCACAATGAGCTCTCCGATCACCTGCCATGTCCTCAACACGCTGTCCGGGACTCCTGCGTCTGGCCTCAAAGCAACATTGACACTGCTGTCGACCAACAACAGCACATCTGGCCAACCTGCAGTAAGCTTCGCTGCCGTCACAAATGAAGACGGCCGCGTCAAAGAGTGGGAGACATCTGCCGGCAGGAGTGTGTCGGATGTTTTGGAAGGATACAGCCACGGAGAGCGAATCGCTTGGAGCATCAAATTCGAGGTCGGTCCGTGGTATGAAGAGAAGGGCGTCGAGAGCTTCTGGCCCGAGGTCGAAGTCAAGTTCTACGTGAAAAATGGCGAGCGGCATTACCATGTGCCCGTATTGGTCGGTCCATGGACCTATACAACCTACAGAGGATCTTGAGGTGCGTCGCGGAGACGCAGGATGCTTTGTTTTGTTGCACCGCTAAACAGGCCTCCACCAACAACCCCGGTTTCTTACTTGAACTCTCAGCAATCGCCGACGCTGTGTCCCCCTCGAGAATCGAACGCTCCGCATTAGGCTCGGCTGCGCCAATGAACCTAGGGCGTTTGGCATTGATGCGACGCAAGAGCTAGAGACCTAGAGTTGCCACGAATCTCTAGTTCCCACCGTACCCGCATATACATACAAGGCTTCCCAAAAGGTTAACCGACCTGCATGACCCTGACGAATACAATTTCCATTGCTCCATGCTCGAAAATCTGCAACCCGCAACTTCCCCAGTCCTCGCCTGGAGCGCTGCTCTTGTCTACGCAATCAGCACGGCAGCTTCCCTGTGCATGACCTCGAATCTCTAACTGGACCATTCTCCGGTCCTCGTGACACCCAGCAGACCAGCAGACCAGCAGACCACCAGCGGGCCCTTCGGCTTTCTTGGGAGAGTCGAGCATGTTGGTTGACGGAGAGGGTCATGTGGCTTTTTTTGATGAAGAACTTTTCGCAGCAAGACGCTTTCCCGCCCATGGCGACAAATCGTCACCGAGACCGCTTGTAATGAGATGCAGAAGCGTGTGCGAGGTTGTGCCTCCGGCTTGCATTGATGGTGACAATTTCGTTGATGTGGCAGTCCTCGTCATCCGTGCCGCTGCTGACCTTGTTGGACATTCGCATTGTTTGTTGCTTTTCATATTGCTCCGACTGGCGTTTGAGGTCCTCTATCTGCTCCTGTGAAATGCCGTGAGCCGATTACTTCCCGTTGATGCTGCGACCGGACTTACCTTGGTCAACTCGGGACCATTGATGAGGAATCCCTCTCGGCCCTAGTTTTCCCATCAGCTTGTGGTTTGTCGCCCGCGGAAGGAGACCCTCATACACGATATGAATATGGCCGCACGGTGGCAGAGGGGCCTAAGAAGTATTGCAGCTGTCGAAGCACAATATGACGAGACAACCCATAGCCGGATATCCAGTAATCCCTGGACGGACTTGTTGGTTGAGGCATTTCGGAAAATGGGAAAGGAACAGCGCTGCTAAGCAGGCACCTAACGTATTTGGTATGGATGAAGGAAGCTGGCAAACGATATGAGCTCGAAACCCAAGCCACCTAACCTACGTGAAGAGAGATTGTGAAGCTGGTGCCATGGTAGGGTCCAAGATATAGTCGGTGTTGAGAGCCTCGAACAAGATATAAGGCTTTGGAAGGGAGGGGGCAGGAGCAGAGTCGCCGCGGCCAATAGCCTCTGTGTACTGATCAAGCAACGGAGATTGGTTCCCCCAGCATGTTCTTGCAGGAGTCTGAGTTCCATCCAACTTGTCATGCAAGCCTTCGACTAATGGTTGCCCTGTAAAGGAGGGAGTCTTGGACGCCTGCGGTCAGTCGGCCAATCAGGGCAGGCGACATCAGCCGCCAGCCAATCACGGCCGCCGCCTTCTCTTCGCATCTTACAAGCCCGTCGCCTCACTTTGATGACCTTGCTGCTTCATCGACTCACCATTTCTCCTCGCTCAACCGAGTCCATTCATCCATCCTCTCCGAGATCACGCTATCCCAGGCGCTCGCTCAACCTTATTCCGTGCCGGTTGAGGCTGCGGAAACACGCCAATTCATGCACACGTGTCCCCGGGGCACAGATTCGGGGCTTTGTTTGCAAGGGAGGCCCGTTGCCTGCCTGAGTGGCAAACAAAAAGATAACCATTGCCAGTGGCACCATATCTGATCGACAAGACTCTTTCCTCTGACAGTCCCTTCGATGTGGTCCGAGAGCCAGACAGTATCCGCCATGTATCTTACGCACAGAAAGATCTGAAGAAAGAGGATCAGCAATGCACAGAATAATGCCGACACTTTAGCAACCCGCTGGGGGCCTGTGGTGACCCTGAACCCCATCAGCCCATTCAGCCCACGAGCTCTGAGCCTCGGCGTCGGCGTCGACCAGTTTGTACTGGCTTAGACTTGCTACAGGCAATAGTCTCATTGCAACTTCTGCACCCTGCAATGTGCTATGCGGGACTACCTATGCAAGCAAAAGCTCTGCTCTCACCGCTCAATCCCCTCAACCTCCAGGTGCAAAAAGTCGCCCACCGAATCCAGAGTCGATTCACCTTTGCACACGTGGAACTTGGTCCTGGCCCTGGTCCACCTTTCCTAGAACGTTTGGACGCTGTGGCGGAGTCTCGCTCTCGTATCACCTGTTTGTTTCCACAAATCTCCTCTAACCGGTGCACGCCAGGCCCAATAGTCCTTGAGGCTTTTCAGAAAATACGCCGTCCCTCGAACCTCTGACATGCCGCAGAAGCTATGCAAAATGCATCCTCTCAATCCAAGTGGATATCATTTCCTGCACCCTTTCCTTAACACCACTCACGCTGCTGAACGTTGAAGCCAGCCAAGCGTGATTGGTAGCATTCTTGGCCCTCTGAAAGTTGTCAGAGAGCCCCAAAGTTTCCGACTGCTACGAGCTCCATACTAATTCTCCTTCTTGGTCAAATTGTCAATGCCCAGTACAAAAGGACGCCCATCAAGGAGTGGCAGGGTCGAGCAACTGGTCCAATCACCGAGACAAAACAATGCAAAACCTGTTCACGGAAAAACAAGTGCCAAACGTACGTCATTCTGGCAAGCCACCAATTCGCTCGTCCCCTGAAACTCGGTACCTGGGACCCTTGGGCCCCGAGTAATAGCATCCCTGGTGCGGGGGGTCCAATCCTGTCTTCAGGAAGCACTCCTCCAAGACAACTGACCTCTTCCTTGTCCAAACACTTACCTAGCAAACTCTGGACGCCGATCCAATCAGAGGCTGCAAGGCTCCCGGTCTGGCTGATCCACACCGCATTGAGAACAAAGCCTACTCCAAGAGCTTGCATTGTTGGACCAGGTTCGGTTGAAGAAAAGACACTTGATATCGCACTTATCGACTTAGTCAACTGCCGATTGTCACATCGAACAATGTAGAGGTTGATCTTATCTTCGAATAACCTCACGCTCCCGCTGCCCGACAATCGCTTTCCATTCAAGGTCGACAAATGCCCGCGCGTCTTCCCCAAGCAGGAAATTTTCCTGCCCAAACACCTTTCCGCGATTGTGGCGATCACTTCCGCAAACACAACCGACACCATGGTTCTGGAAATATATGTGACAATCTGCGTGACCTGCTGCACTACTAAGAGCGAATCTACCCGTGCTTAGCCGCACCTCGCTTCACCGGTGACCTCCCTATGGACGAATTGCCGACGATCTGATAGCATTCGGCCCAACGTCAGCTTCGTGGAGGTGTGAGTTCTGCCCCTTAAATATCAGCCTGACTAGGCCCTGTCACCATGCCTCACTCTTTTCTGATCGTCCCCTGATCGACCCTTATTGCATGAACTGTCTGGGGCATTCAGTCAGCTACCCTGGAAAGGCCTCTACCGTCAAAGAACCTTGGCGCATGCAGAGACGTGCGGACATTGAGTGGGTACGAGCACTTTCGTATTCACCATAACGTCTAGACGTCAAAGTCGACCCGCTCTCCAAGGTCTGAGGCAGATAACAGACTGTCCGACGGCAGAAACAGTTTCAACTTGGATTTCCTAGCTTATGGAGCATATTGAGGGACCCTGTCAGGCTATGGAACAGTCTGACCGCAAATTACGTTATTTGAGGGATCGAGAGGTGGAAGGGGTTTGTGGTGGCCAGAGCAACCGTGGGCACTGAGGGTGGTGAATTCTCACAATGATTGATTCTGGAGGGTGATTGGTCTGTTGTGTTTGAACCAGCCCGTCTCCGAAAAACATGCTCGGGGGCAGTCGATCTCTATGTCTAGGTGTGGTTGCGCCCATCGGCACGAGGATAGCCGCTACGAGTGCTGGGCACCAATCCCAACGGGCCAGCTAGATTCCTCATGGTCTCTGCACCCACTGCCCTTTGTCTACATCCCCTACTTTTCGACAGAATACTAGGCGTGGCAGCGTGTCAGAAAGAGTGTACGACTAAAGTTGCAAGCGAGCCGCCGCCGGGCACGTTCTTCTGCAGCACCACACCCCGGCTAACTCTTTGACTTCCAGCCTCATTCTATCATCCGCCTGCAAATATCCTCTGGTTCTACCAAGGTCCAGTGGTCTTTCGACCAATCCGGAGGGAGGAATTCCTATGGCTCCCCAGTATCGAATCCGTCAACGACTCCATCCACCCACGGGAAAGCCTCACTTTGAGGATGGAACACCTCAATATCCGCGTGAAGCCGTGCTCGGGCTCCTGGGCTGGCTCTACGGGTTCAGTTTCAGACAAGCATGGCATCCGGGCGCGGAAATGAGCCCATAGGGGAGCTGAGCCCAGCGAGTCCTCCGTAGGAAGCACACTCAAAGGCAATTGTCACAAGTGCAGCACGGAGAGTTCAGAATTGAAACAAAACGGGGCAACATTAGACGGTTGCCATCACTTGACATGTGCCTTGGAGAGCTTTCACACCCTCCACGAAGGCCTTCGTCGCACTCTTCCAGGAAGTTCGATGTTGATCTGCGTTGTCTGTGCCATCCGCAAATGCCAAAGCGCCTCTTGAGCTCCTGCAATCGCTTCCCAGCGACGAGTCCTCAACTCGAACTGGGTTTGGGATGAGCTCGATTTGCAATATGTCGACGACATTGACACCTTTGTTGTTTCCACTGCGTTTCTCAGCTGGATCCATTTTGTTGACGGCAACATTGCTGCCTACGGCTTGAGCCCACCAGAGACGAGGTGGACGGGGCGGCAAATTGGGAATGAGGTCGGAAAAAGAGTGTGGGCGGAGTGAGCAGAGTCTTCAGCTCTAGCATCACCCGGATCTCCCATCCTTTTTGCCTAGTTGTTAAGTACCTAGCCAGACCCGTTTTCTGCGCACGCCTTCGGATGAGTACGTTGTTTACTGTCCCCTGATGACACCCTTGTCACAAGGCACACAAGACTTCCTCCTCACGGACTCATGATCAGAAAGCAAGCGGCTCCGGCAACCAAATCTGGTCTTTAAAACAGACGAGTCGAGCAACTGCGCAGGGCAAAATCGCCCCAGGTCGGCCCTCCAGCCCACGAAACTCCAACGAGTTATCCTCATTCCCTACACATCTGCTTCTCTGCCCTCACCCTGTCAATTCCATCTCATCTCATCTCATCTGATCCCTCCATCGATCCATTTAATCATCCACAAGGAAGGAATGTGCAGACAGGAATGCGACCAGCCCCTGAGAACTGCAGATGAGAAAACCCCCAAGAAGAGAAAGAAAGACGGGGGGAAGACAAGAACAGAACAAACGAGCGTATCGACCAGTCAGTCACTCAACCAAAACAACTGAGCGACACACTTCCTCGTCGTATACATTGCAGGTGGGATTTCCTGCTTCTAATGGATTACGTACGGGAGACAAACAAATTGAAGGGAAGGACAGAGTTTTACGACTTGCAACTTTGTGTGTGACTGGCTCCCAGTGGAATAGGCACCTAGGTAAGAATCGGGAAAGGGCTTCAATTGATATAAAGAGAGTGAGTGGGTGGTTTTTTGCTTGCACAGAGTCTCGAGCTGACGGGATCTTTCTGTCGCTTTTTCCCTGTTCTTTCTTTCTTTCTTTCACCCATCCATCCATCCATCCATATTCGAGTTCTGTTCGTCCTTCCGTCTGTCCGTCCTCAAGTCCCATCGCAAAAGTGCGTGCGTACTTACAAGACGAGATGCTGAAGAAGGGGCGGCTTAGCTCACACGACCCAACCCATGAAGACGGGAAGGATGAGGATAGAATATCGCCTCACGATCCGTCGCCCAACCACCTAGGCTAATCCAGCTTTCCAGAACAGCATGATCAAAAGGAACAAAAAACGAAGAGAAAGTGAATGAATGAATGACGGCATGAATGTCTGATTGCAGTGCCCAAGATTTCCCCCTTTCATTCCTGGCTGGCACCTTGCCCGTGTGCTCATGTGAATCCCAAGATCCCTTGTACCCTCAGCTTGCCCGTGCTTGACCCTTTCGACTCACTTCTCCCCTCACCACCTACAACCAGAAAGATAAGTAGTGGGTGGCAGGACGTGTGTGTGTGTGCCTGAGTCAGAAAAGAGCCAAGCGACCAAAAAATGAAAGTCCTTCCTTCATCCCACTGAGCATGGCCCCCTCTAGGCGCCGACGCTCGTCCCAACAGTCATTCAAAGGAATGAATGGATGTACACTGAAAAAGAATGACAGAAAAGCACCACCGCAAAGCATTAAATACACACGCTACCCATCCCAGAGCCAGCCCCGTTGCCGATCTCAAGATTTCCCTAACCCTTTCCTGTATACATCTTCCCATTTCGTTCATCAGTTGACTAGAATACATTTACATACGCAACGTTTCGTTCGAAAGATGGACAGTGGCGGCAACGCCCGTTGCAGTGTCGACGTTCTTGTTGCTTCGGAAAACATTGACTCAAAGGGAGAAGAAATCCTGAGCCGATGGGTCCAGTCCCATCTCCATCCCGCCATAGTCGAGAAAGTTGTCGAAGTCATTCCTTTCCTGCTGCTCCATCTTGATGGGCAACTGCGGTGAATGCATCGTTGACGTAGGATCGGTAGGCAGGTCCGAGAAATCAAAGGCCACAATATCGGCGGCGGGTGATGAGCACGAGTGTGAAAGACTAGGCAAACTCTGTCCTGATGAGACATTCAGGGCGGCACCCAACATTGGCAAGCCATTGTCCATGGTCGGGAGATCTGGCAGCATTTGTGATGCGTCACTATGCTGAAGGCCTGGAATCTCGCCTAGCTCCGCTGGTGTCAGCTCGCGGTAGACAGGACTGGGCTTGTTGCCTGTAGAATATCCTGGGCTATGTGGTGGTGTGAAAGAGAATGTGTCGGGAGGAAAGCCAATCATCTGATCCATGTTCAGGAGATTGGGCTGTTGCATACCAAACAGGGCCATGGGTTCGAAAGGTGACGTTCCACGGATGCTCAGATTGTCCATGGTCTCCGTTGGTGGTGAGCCCCAGCTTGACATGGAGCAGCTCGATGCAGAAGACGTGTAAGGATCGTGAAGTTGTTCAGTGGTCCTCTGTCTAGTTCGATTGGCTTTCTCCAGACGTTCATCCATCTCCGGTCGGTGCTTCCTGGGCCTACCACGTTTCATCACTTTTTTGACGACACCATCAAACGCACCAATACACATTCCTCTCTGGCGGTGACGGGTCAATGCGTCATGTCGAGCGAATGAGTTCCCACAGAGACAGGGATATGGTTTTGTCCCGGTATGAATCTTGGCATGGCGTTTGAGGTCGTGGCCTCGAACGAAGCATTTCTTGCAATGGTCACATCGGAACTGACGATCACCGAGGTGGGTTTGGATATGTGATTTGATGTTTTCTTTCCGGCCGAATCTTTTGTTGCAATCCTCATACTTACAGACCCATTTGTTGTCTACTGGATCTGGACCTTCGATGAACTGTGCAATATCATCCAGCGTGATGTTGGTTTCCTCAATCGATGCTTCAATGCCGGGCTCCAGATTGAGATCCGAGATCGACATACGTCGAGGGGAAAGTGCCGGTCGTCCTGGCGAAGTGCTACCAGCCGGTGCCTTCTTGCTTGAAAGGACCGGCACAGCCATGTCTTCGAGGCTGGGAACTTGAGTCTCGAGGTCATCTTCTTCTCCTAGAGTCGATTCAGCCTTGACCTTCGTTGGCTCCGTTTGCTGGGCCATAGGTGGAGTCTGAGCTCGTCTCCGAGCTTCGGGCACCGGCATTTCAGCCATTTCAAACAAAGGTCTGACCGGCGTTCCCATGGGCTCGGGTCTCAGTTCTTCGTGCTCTATTATACCCTGCAGAGACTTGCCTCGTGCCATGGGCACTGGGTAGGGTGACTGGAGGGCTGGGGATGCTTGTAATGAACGCGAGTATTGAACGGCTGGGTTATGTTGACTGAAGGGAGGTGTGAGAGGGAGTTGTGCTGACGAGCTGTTAGATTGGTTGACTGTTCTCAGCTGTGGAAATTTACTCACCAGTCTGGATTTGATTTGAAGGTGTATGAGGTCGCAACTGGGTCTGAACCCGCAGATCTGGTTGCGACATTCTCCGATTGTCAAAAGACATACCGACGTTGTGGTGAAACTGGTGTGCTTGAGACTCATGGAAATACTGTAGATTGTTCTCATCCATGAGTGCCGTTGGACCACCGGTCTGCATTGGCATATTCAGGTCGGTGAAGTATTGTTGGGAATGCGAAAAGGTCATGCCTGGAGAGGTCTGGTGCATGATTGCATTCATTCTCATGTTGTCGTAGGGTGACTGTGGGATTGAAGTGGTCACCGGGAACATACCACACTCAGGGGAGATGGGTAAGTCCATGTTCATATTTGGATGCTGCTGGCCCGGTCTTGCTATTCGTTGCTGCTGCGCTTCCCGCAAAATCTGTTGTCCGTGGATTGGTCCTAGGTTAGTCATACTTACCATGCTGCCTTGTTGATGCTTCCGTATGGGGCTTCGTTGAAGATCGAAAGATTGACCCCGTCTATGGAGATTGTGGCGTGGTTGCTGAGGCATGGTGGCGGAGACCTTCATGGCTTCGAAGGCTACAACGGGAGTCGAGTTTTGTCTCCGATGTAGCCTTTGTCGTTGCTGAAGAGATGAAGGTTGGTTGGACATCATCTTAGGCGAGATGAGTTCGAAAATGATTGCTTGTCGAAGGGTGGTTGTTGTACTTGTTGTCCGAGAAATGGATCCTTCAATGGTTCGAGACTGCAGCAGGACCGCCGGTTAGTTCCCTATATACTCTTGAAAGCATATTGTCAGAAGGTCCAACGTACCTCACGCAGCGCAAGGGGCTGCGGACCGGGCAGCGGTCTTGTGTTATTCGGCTTTCACCAGTCGCAGACGACTGTATGCGACTCTTGTTTTTTCAGAGAAGGGGCCCTCTCAGGGCAGATATAGTAGATTGATCAGAACTGGGTCCTGAGAGGCTTCTCGATTGACTTGTTTTGTAGGTCTTGAGCTTTCTCGACGAGGAGAGGTCGGTCTAGAGGATAGATTTGGGAGATTTGGGAGGTTTGGAGGATGAAGAGGAGGATAAGAGAAGTGACTTTACAGCTGGAGGGGAGGTGACAAGTATTGACTTGGACTCGTCACCGTCGGCGATCTCAGTGGCCGTCACTCCGGAAGTGGCGGCTGCGTAAACAGCAACGTTGCACAGCAACCGAACAAGCAACCGCCGCCGCATCACGTGATGTGTCATTCGCCTCTTGCGCTTAATGGTTGTCTGCTCCACCATATTCGACCAGCGCACTACCTAGAAATCCATCTTTTACAACCCTCACAATTTCTAATTTTCTTCTCTTGTACCAAGTTTGGGCTGACAGAGCCGACCTTTTGCATTCAGAAGATTGAGGAAGACAACTCCTGTCGAGGTAAGCCTCTCTCAAGGCAGAGTCCTTTTTTTGGTCCTGCGCTGCCACCTTTTCGCCGGTTTTGCCCACCACCACCTTTCCCCCGTCTCCCTCTACCACCTTTTCACCTCCAGGAAGCAACTGACGAGTCCATAGATCTCCTGCGATGCAAGTGTTTGTCAAAACCTTGACGGGGAAGACTATAACCCTCGAGGTTGAGTCTTCCGACACCATCGACAATGTCAAATCCAAGATCCAAGGTATGTTTCGCCAAAACCGGTCCCAGTTGCATGGCGCGCATCGGGCTCACGACATCTCCTATCAGACAAGGAAGGCATTCCTCCGGACCAGCAACGCCTGATCTTCGCCGGCAAGCAACTCGAAGACGGGCGCACTCTCTCCGACTACAACATCCAGAAGGAATCCACCCTCCACCTGGTCTTGCGCCTCCGCGGTGGTGCCAAGAAGCGCAAGAAGAAGGTCTACACCACTCCCAAGAAGATCAAGCACAAGCGCAAGAAGACCAAGTTGGCCGTGCTCAAGTACTACAAGGTCGACGGTGATGGGAAGATCGAGCGGTTGAGGCGCGAGTGCCCTACCAAGGAGTGCGGTGCTGGTGTCTTCATGGCTGCTATGCATAACCGACAGTACTGTGGTCGTTGCCATTTGACCTATGTCTTTGACGAGTCCAAGTAGGTCAGTGAACATGTATGGGATGCACCACAAGGCATGCTATGAAGCCAATATGAATGTCCGGGCGGCGGGTCAAAGCAGATAGCAGACAATCACTCTCCCGCTTCTAGCAAACAGATCGCGAATGAGAAACACTACCGTCATGACATTGCTCTCTGCAATTCCCCATATTAACACCCTCCAAAGCAGTCCAGTCATTATCATTCTCTCGTAACTTGGGCCGATTTCTCGGCGCACACATTCAGCCTGCGTGGGGCAACACTATAGCGGCGAAAAGTTTTAGCCAATAATTTTACTCGTAGATGGCCTGCCTGCTCCACCAGACACTATCGATAGCCCGCTTGTTTACCTGCAAAACTGAGGACCATGGAGCGGGCTCCCAGCACTACGTGCAGGTGAACGAGAAGATCTTGAATCCTTCCACCCCTTCCGGTTCAGATCGAACAATTCGCAAATTCGTTACATTCAACCATGGACACAGACACAATGGCGCAACCCAGCGTGATGACGAATCTTCACCACCGCAAAGTCGAACTCCAATCCCCCAATGACCTGACATACCTGCAATCCAACCTCGTCGCCTGCGCGCGTCAAAAGTTAGATCTCCATTTCCCTCCCTCGGCTGCGGTGCAGGGGAAAATCCCCCAGGCTGCAATGCCAGCGACGACGATACACTTAGACGGGGTCCAACCGACCGGAGCAGAGCAGTCTCGCGACGACACACAAGGCCGGGATGGGGATCGGGACGAGGTTAAGGAGGAGGAGGAGGAGGATCCGCTACGTGCGCGCGTGCGCGCCGTCGTCGATGCCTTCATCGCGCGCACCTGGGAGGGCGCGTGCAAAAACATCACCGTCAACGGGCTGGACGCGACGAATCTCCCCGCCGCTGCAACTTCCGCGCCTGGCGGCCAGCAGCAGGAGGAAGAACAGAAAGAGGAGACCGAGGGGGTCGACTTTGTCTACTCGGCGTACGACAGCCGGCTACAGGCGCAAGTCGCGTCTCTCTACGGCGAACTCGAGACGTTGACCACGCAAGTGAGCAAGTTGAGAAGGACGGCACCAGCGCAGGGAGCAGAGACCCTCGCGAAGAGGTTGCGGGAAGAGATGGAGGCGGACGATCTCGAATTCGAGAAACGTATGGCGAAGTTGCGAGGAGCAGATGCAGCAGCCAACGACGACATTCTCAAACTGAAGCCGCTAATAAGAGAAGGATGGTTCGACGACGTCAACGCCATGTATGAACGTGGCACGAACGAGCTTGCGGCGCTGGCTGGTATTAAGGGAGCCCAAGCCCAAGGCGAAGAAGCTGATCACCAACGAGTGTATGGCGCGAGTTTGACAGAGACGTTGGGCAAAATCCAACGTGCGAGGACGGTGGCTATGGAGTTTGAGTGAGCAAAAGGGTGATGAGAGAGGGACAGAGACCCACGGGTCCCGCACGGTATCAGGATGCCGCGAACTTACCGGACTTCTGCTCAAGGACGTCCGCTGGCGACTTCAACGTCTCCTCCCTCTCAGTGCATGCACACGGCCGGGTTGGATAGAGTTCGAGCACGGACAATTTGGTGTCTGTCGATCGAGAGACACATGATTCTCGCCCGTGAAGCATCTCGTCCTCCATGCCCATGACGAGTAACGACCCCGGCTGACCACCTGTCTAAAAGAGGATCGACGACGAGAAGTCAAATCATTCATCACACATGAGGTACCAAAGCATCTAGCTGTGTTCATGAAATCCAAGCTAGTCCAGGCCTCCCGAGTCGAGCTGTATCGCCGTTCTAGCTGAGTGATTCTACAGGGAAATCTCTGGGCTTGCGGTGAAAAAAACATCATGTAACGCGGGCGAGACGACCAAATCATCAGTGCCGGAGCCGACATCATATTGATCTACCAACGTCGTGCCGGTCGCCTGTTGAGGACAGGCAGAGACCCCAGGTGTGCGGTAAAGAGCCAGGCAAGAACGATGGAAAAAGCCCACTTCAAGTGAGGCGAGCAGTTTTCAGAGGGAAATATCAGAAGTTCTCCACCGAAAGCCAATGTATCATCAGAATGTACAACAAGCAGGTTCAGGGGCCGCTGTGAGCTTAGGCCTTAGGGCCCTGTGTTCTTCTGTTTCTTCAACCTTCTTCAACACCTGTAGGCGTCCTCTGGAACATCCTCTTAGCGATCTTTCGAAACGGTTCGAGATGAAAATATCTACGATCCTGCTGTCTCCTGCAAAGGCATCTTTGGTCCGTCGGCCGGCGCGTTCTCAGCCTGCGAAGGTGCTGTTGCGGGAGCAGGGGCCTTTGCCGTTGCTGGATCTTGAGCACCACCAGTAGGGGCAGGCTGGACGGTATTTGCAGCGTCTTTGCCAGTGGCCGGGTCCTGTCTGGCCCATTTAGGCGGCTTTGCATATTTGGGGTCTTTCCATGGTCCATCATCACTGAATTGACAACCACCTTCGCACTCACACTCGCCGCCAAATTCCTTGGGAAGGTTTTCTGCGGGGATCTGTTGCAACAGTTCCTTTTGGTAATTGGAGCCAAGGACGTGGATCTTGGCGACCGTGATTGGGTCGAGGAACGATTTGACGAAACTGAAGACGCTGGCAAAGCCCCATGGAGCATTAATGATGTACAGCTTGCCCAGCCGTTCTGGGTAGTAGTCTTGGGAGATGGCGCTGACAGACTTGAGGTAGCCGTAGACGGATGGAATGCGCCCAACACCAACGCCTTTCATGTCCATGATTGTGCAGCAAGTCTCAAGGAGTTTGCCTGCCTTGCGCGAGCAAGCGGGCAAGCGTGGATCGGCGACCTTCTCGTACTCCACAACCAGATTTTGCACCATTCGTTCCGCAGTAGAGATCTTGTACATGGCATTCAGATCAATCTTGCCATATTGCTCGATATACACCGGGCGACCATCCTGTCGACGTCGGTTAGTGAACCCGGTCATTGTCAGCTCAATGCACTGTAGCCATACCTTGTCGGTCTTGTGATAGTACTGTGGATAATACTGGAACATTTGAGCTCGTTCTTTGTAGTCAAACGTGCGGACCAGATCATCAGTGCCAAACTCCTTTCGCCATTGCTCGTTCTTGATGAACCTGCGACCTTTGTCAGCGTCTGGCTTGTGTCAATAGTTCCCACAAGGACACACATTGCCTTGCTGTGCTCGACGTTGAATTTGCGGGCTCTAAGAAAGCGCAACAGGGTCAGGGTGTCTAGCCGCTCCGTGTAGCCTTCTTTTTCCAACATCGCTCTCAGTTGGTGCACTTGAGCATCCTGCTCCTTGGTGGTATGGCCAGGGTGACCCGACTGGTTCTCGGGGGCAGTCGTGGGGAAGTCATAGTCGTCATATTTCGGATCTAAATCCATATGCGGGTTCGCCTGTTGAGTTCCTGTCGACATGGTGGGAGAGGAGGGGGAGCGACTGTTGTGGAAAAGTAGAGGTGTTCTTTGCAACGAGCGGTTCTGACCAGCCCGGACAGAGGCTGGATTCGAGGGGGGAAAGAGGGGGCGAAAGCAATATGTCGAGTTCAGGGTACGGGACGCAAGCAGGAAATTCGAAGTGGCCGAGAAAGTAGGAATGAGCAAGGACAGAGCCAGCAAACAATGACAACAACCAAAAACATATATGAATGGATCCAAAAGTGCATCTTAATCCGGCACGGGCGCAGTTGAAAGGTCGGCGACGATTGGGGGCTGCCCTCGCTCTCCATGACTATGACGCACAACCATGCCCTACACCATGGGCGCCATGGACCCTTGGCGGCGAGGCGGGTGCTTGGTGCCCTTGCAACATACCAGTGGGTGGCAGCCCGTACTCGCAAGTGTTGGGGCTTGACGCCTGTGACGCCTGGGATGCCCCAAGGCCACTTGGGTGCCACTACCTAGTGGGTGCCTAGGCCTCACCCCTGATGATTGATCACCGGGGGAGCTTGGCACAGTCAACATTCGCACCACTCAGGCTGCACTCACCACTGCTGCACTGCTAATAGTCCTTGCCCGCTAAGATCCGGAAATCTGCTCCAGAAATTTCAAAATCCCGACCAGTCGCACGTGAGTCACGACCCCTTCACGCCTTGTCCCATCTGTCCAAAGGCCATGCGAGGCTGATCTTCATGAGAGCCGTGCCCTTAGATCCGTTTATGTAAAAGCATGTTCGTGACACTGCTCTCTTGAAAGGAGATACTGCTTGAATATGCAACTGCAGGGCATTTCCCCTTCCAAGGATTCAAGTGCTCCAAGGCTTCGACATTCATAACAAACAACAAGGCGACCTGAAGTCGCGCCACAAGATTGACCATGCCGCCTAAGCCTCCCAAATCTGCTGGCGGAAGAGGCAGATCTGGAGATGACAACAAGGAAGATCCTCTGCAGGCCGTCATCGTCGCGGACACGTTCGAAGACAGATTCACCCCGTTCACTCTGGAGAAGCCTAGATGTTTGCTAACTCTGGCCAATACTCCGCTGATTGAATACACTCTCGAGTATCTCGCGAGTGCTGGAGTCCAAGTCGTCTACGTCTATGCCGGGGCACATGTCGACCAAGTCGAAGCCTACATTGAGGGGTCTCGGTGGAAGTCTTCGAACTCACCTTTTGAGAGCCTCACCCTCCTGAGATGCATTGCGAGCTCGGTTGGGGATGTGATGAGAGATCTCGACCAAAAGCACTTGATGGCGGGAGACTTCATTGTGGTTAGTGGTGACATCGTCGCAAACTTCCCCATCGAAAAGGCGTTGCGACAACACAAGACCCGACGGGAAAAGGACAAAAATGCCATCATGACCATGGTTCTTAGGGAGGCTGAGCCTGGAATTCATGATTATAGTGGCGGAGTAGTACCGACTTTTGTCGTCGATCCCACCAAGGATAGATGTCTGCACTACGAGGAAGCATTTCCGGGTACTCAGTTCACCTCACACGTTGACCCAGAATTGTTGAAAACTCCGGAGCTAGAGGTTCGCCAGGACCTCATCGACTGTAGGATCGACATATGTACGCCAGATGTTCTCAGCCTGTGGTCGGACAACTTTGACAATCAGTCGCCCCGAAAGGACTTTCTTTTTGGCGTTCTCAAGGACTGGGAATTGAATGGAAAGACAATCCACACATATATCGTCAAGGACGATTACGCCGCCCGAGCTGCAGATTTCTGGTCCTACAACGCCATATCGCAAGATTTGAAGCAGGGCGTAATCGCATCGATTGCGGTAGAAAATAACGTCTTCAGCGACACACACTACGACCGTTCACAGAGCGGGGTCATTGTCGACAAAAATGTTATTGCGGCCAAACCCACAAAACTGGAAGCAGGCACCATCGTCGGTCCTGAAACCACCATTGGTGCAGGGTGCCAAATTACGAGCAGTGTGCTCGGCCAACGGTGTCATATCGGCAGGAACACCAAGATTGACGCTGCTTACATATGGGACGATGTCTCTGTTGGGAACAATGTCAAGATTTCGCGCGCTATCATCGGAAACGAGGCCTTTATAGGTGATGATTGCATCATCGAGGAAGGCGTTTTGATTTCTTTCGGCGTTAAGATCGCCGCTGGCACTACGGTCCGAGCTGGTTCAAGAATTGTCAAAACACAGCAGGGAGTAGACGGGCAGCTGAAGAATGACGCTCTGATGGTTGGTGACGCAGGAGAAGGTCACGCTTACGTGGAGGACGAGGAAGACTATTTGAGTTCGAAGCTCTCGAGACTGGTCTATGACAGACCAGACTTGGCCGATTCGGTATCTACCCTGGAATCGGACATCTCTGAAGACGAAGTCTCCTCACTTGGCGGATCACGAAGTCAAAGTTTTGGCGATGAGTCTTCCGACCGGTTTCAACACGATACAGTGGCGATCCTCGTCCAACGAATGCAAGAAGGGAAGCACGTGGACGATATGCTCAGCGAGCTGATGGGTCTGAGGTTCAGTGGAGGGGCAGATGAGACACAGGTCCGCAGAGCAGTTGCCGTCGCTCTCATGAAGCACATCCATGGGGAAATTGAGGCGGAAATGTCTGCGGCGGATGCGACCAGACGGACACTTGCTGCGTACAACCCCCTCATCCGCAGAACAGGTGCACAGCAGGCGACCGAAGAGCAAGTATCGTTTCTTCTCGATGCTCAAAAGGAACTATCCAAGCGGAAAGATGGTGGCAAGACTCTTTTGTTCGTTGTCAAAGATCTCTATGATCTTGAGGTGTTTGGCGAGGAAGCCTTCACCGACTGGTGGGCTGACGAAAGATCCAACATGGAACCAGAAATGGCAGCGGTGCGACAGCCAAGCTCACAATTTATCGACTGGCTAGAAAATGCCGAGAGCGAGAGTGAAAGCGAGGAAGAAGACGAGTGAGGATAGGTGATGGAGGATACAACGGCACGGTCAAGGGACAAACACCTTTCATCGGACAAGATTGTTTGCCCTTGTCACTGGAGGTGGGCCAGCCCTCCAGGCGACTGTTCTATTCGTGGCCGCAATCTGCCAGTGTGTTCATGGACCATTCTTGGATACATCTCAATGTTCTCAAGGGGAGATATGGGTCTCTAGATGTGGACGTTCCTAAGGACATGGGTGCCTGAACAGCAACAGGCACCACAGACACGATATCAGGAAAGGTACGGAGACGAGATACAAGTAGTAGTTCCTAGTAGACGAGGCTTGCAGTGTCTCGTCACGTGCAATGCAAAATCGAGTATGACGATCTGCTCAGTAATAATAATGGCTCGATGCCCAGGTGGCTCGGTGGCTACCGCCACCCTGCAAACCTGAACTCGCCCGCCGCTCGCCCCGGTCGATCCATCGCCCAATGCTAAGTGACTAATGAGGCCGCCTGCGGTGCCACTGCAACCGCCTTACTCGTACTGTACGTCCCCTTGTTCCTACAGCCATTTTCCTTTCCGTCATCTGGCCTTGACTCGAGACATTTCCCCCGCTGCCTGCGTTCCAATCTCTTATAACTTGTCTTGATATGTGTAAACGGCTGTTTCCTAGTCACTTGAGCGTCATTCAGGCTGAGATACCTGCCAATCTCCTGTCGGTACACTGAGTGGTTCGCCCAGACACTGGTCACCTGCTTCTCCGGTCATCCCCTCACCAGACTCGCAGCCTGTTGTCTCGTCTGGAGACGCAGCTGCCCTTATCAAAGCCAACACGACACCTCAATCCAAGAAACGAAAGGCTGCGGAGTGCGTCCCTGACGCGTCAAGCAACGGTCCGGTAAAAGCACGCAAGACATCCGCCCCTCCTGCGCAACGTCTGTCGACCCCCGTCACCGAGCACGGCTCGCCGTCGTCGAAGGCCATGGATTCGGAAGACGACTTCATGTCCGATCCACCGAGCGGGGATGAGATGGACTTTGATGAAGGCACGCAAGACAGCGATATTGCCAGTCTAGCAGGCGGTCGGTATCCCCAACCCTGCTGTCTGATGGCCCTGGGATACTAACGAACATGACTATAGACTTTGAGCAAGACCAGGATGGCGGCTTTGGCTACGAGAAAGACATCCTTACGAACCCTCAAAAACCCTACGAAGTCGAGCACAAGGTCCTGAGTCCGGAAGATATCCAAAACCAGCAAGAACAACAGTTCAAGGAGGTTTCGTCCATCATCGAGCTACCTATCGAACAAACGGCTATTCTTCTTCGATTCATGAGATGGAACAAGGAGAAATTGATTGAATCATACATGGACAACCAAGACAAGGTTCTCGAGGCTGCTGGCTTGGGACCCACATTTGCAGAGGCTCCAAGAACAAAGAAGGTCAAGGGCTTCACTTGCGAGATCTGCTTCGAGGACTCTCCAGACCTAGAGACGTATGCCATGAAATGTGACCACAGATATTGTACCACCTGTTATACCCAATACCTTACGCAAAAAGTCAAGGAGGAAGGGGAAGCCGCTAGAATCGAGTGCCCCTTCGATGGCTGCCATCGGATTGTCGACTCCAAGTCCTTGAGGCTGTTGGTCGACCAGAGTGTCATGGATCGCTATCACGTCCTGCTCACTAGAACTTATGTGGACGACAAGGACAATCTCAAATGGTGCCCGGCTCCCGAATGTGAATACGCCGTGGACTGTCCCGTGAGGAAACGAGATCTCAATCGGATCGTCCCCACTGTCCGCTGTGCTCACGACCACATGTTCTGCTTTGGATGCACGCTAGCCGATCACCGTCCGGCACCCTGTGCTCTTGTCAAGAAATGGCTGAAGAAGTGCGAGGATGATTCGGAAACTTCGAATTGGATATCAGCCAATACAAAGGAGTGTCCCAAGTGCAATTCGACCATCGAGAAGAATGGAGGCTGCAATCACATGACCTGCCGGAAATGCAAGCACGAGTTTTGTTGGATGTGTATGGGACCTTGGTCGGAGCATGGAACTAGTTGGTACAATTGCAACCGATTCGAGGAGAAGTCAGGAGCCGATGCTCGTGACGCCCAAGCACGTTCTCGACACTCGTTGGAACGATACCTGCACTACTATAACCGTTACGCCAACCACGAACAGTCGGCGAAACTTGACAAAGACTTGTGGCTCAAGACGGAAAAGAAGATGACGAGCCTTCAATCCCAATCTAACATGTCGTGGATTGAAGTTCAGTTTCTCGACAATGCCTCCAAGGCCCTGCAGAACTGCCGCCAGACCTTGAAATGGACCTACGCCTTTGCCTTCTATCTTGCTCGCAATAACATGACTGAGATCTTCGAGGACAACCAGAAGGATTTGGAAATGGCGGTGGAAAACCTGAGTCAGATGTTCGAGAAACCTGTGCATGAGCTCGGAAACCTGAAAGTTGAAATTCTTGACAAGACCACCTACTGCAACCGGAGGCGGGAGATCCTATTGAGCGACACGGCTGAAAACTTGAAGAAAGGTTTGTCGACCCCGACCCTTTTCTTACGACCCATTACTGACTGACCGTGACAGACCAATGGAAGTTCAATGTCGAAATATGATATATTATGAATACCTAGGTAGATAACGGCGAAACGCACGATCCACCCAGCGGCGGGTTCACGGCTGTGCTAGCGAGGCGTTCCCTGACGGACCGGGCAACTTGGATGCATTATCATGAAGGGATGGTGCTCAGACCAAGAGCTTTTGACTTGACTTGACTTGAGAATGTTGGAACTGGTAGAAGGCGTCGGGAGCACAATGCATGCAAGGTTGGCGTCTTGCTTTATTCTTGCCCATGATGAGGGACACGGTGTGAGAAACAGGTCACGGCAGCTGAAAGGTCTCCTGGGGAGTGAGCCTCCGTGTATTGCAATACAACACAACCCTTTACTTGAGATACAAGGATACACTGTATGATCAGCGCCTTCTCCTTTTTTTTTTTCTAAATGTCTCATTTTGTGGATGCTGTGCATGGAGGGATCCTCATTATAGCCACGTGAAGGCGCCTCATACGAGTGTCAGCAAGGCAGCAAGAATATCGCGTATCAGGAATACGTAGTGCAATTCCCACCCCTCCCTCTAGAGGCCGAAACGTTCTGGTGACTAGGTAGGTACGGCCGAGCAAAGTGGCGTTGAAGCCGAGGCGCGAGAGCGAGTGAGACGATGCCAGAATAGGAGTTTGACAGCGAGCATGGAGCGAGGTCGGAAGACAAGCAAGGGGAGTCGGGGTCTGCAGCATCATACGACGCTCAACGGTGGTGACGGGCAAGGCAAAGGGCAGGCATAAGAGGGCGTAGGCGGCGAGGCGGGCATAGGCGGGCATCATGACCCAAGTGCGTGTCCCGGAAAGAAAGATTCTAGAGTCACTGGGGGGCGTCATGGATGGAAACTTGAGTCAATCCGCAGTGCCCGCCAACCAACCAACCAGCCAGCCATCTTAGCTAACCCCAGCGAGCTTGAGCTTAAGAGACCCTGGCTCAAAATTCTAAGCAGCACCCGTCAGAGTCGACCCAAAATCTTTAGAGCGATCTCAGTGCCTCGCCCGGGCCATTATTTCGCCCTGGCTCTGACTTGATATTGCTGCGGATCGCTTTTTTTGCTTGCGCAGTCAATCCGGCATAACCCATTCCCAAGGATCTTTCTCCTGGTGACGAAGGACTCGTTGCCTCCCTTCCTCTGCTCTTCTGAGCAACCTTCTTCATTCTCGGTAGAACGATTGCAGATTGCAGGCACAGAATCACCGTTCGCAATCGTGGCGGCGTCAGCCAAATTCCCAGCGGCATTGCCCGCGGAGAATATGACAGTGTCGAGCAGCCCGGATGCAGTACCTGGTGAAGAATACGAGTGAGTGGTGCCCTCCGTTATGGACAGGTCAGAACGAGCATTGACATTCTCCCAGGTATGAAGCTCTACCACCGAACTATGGTCTAGGACACAATATGATGGCCGGCGCGTTCGCAGGCATCGCGGTACGCCGGAGAAAATCAAGAGACAGGATTGAAAGACTGATACCAGGCTCAGGAACATACGGTCATGTATCCGGTGGACTTGATGAAGGTACACAGTCATCCCATCCCCCGACACTGGCGGGGAACACATGGCTAACGCGGTCTTGACAACAGACACGGATGCAAATCATAAATCCTTCGGCCGGCGGCCTGTATACGGGGCTTTCACACGCAGTATCTACGATATATCGGATAGAAGGCCTGCGGACGTTATGGAGAGGCGTGACCAGCGTCATCGTGGGTGCAGGTGCGTTGTCCAACCCGGAGGACATGAAGATTCCGGGCTGTCTCTGATCCTAATAATCGATACCAGGCCCTGCTCATGCCGTATATTTTGGCACATACGAAGTGGTGAAAGAGTTTGCAGGTGGGAACAAAGCCGATGGCAAACATCATCCTCTCGCGGCTGGTGAGTGAGCTCTGGAGTGGCGGCTCTCAATGGGGTGGGCGGAGGTGCTAACTGAAATTTACAGCTGCGAGCGGAGCATGCGCAACCATTGCGAGTGATGCTCTGATGAACCCTTTCGATGGTACGGATCTCACTGTACAATTGCCACAAAATTTCTTGATCATGACTCTGACCGTCTGCCGCAGTCATTAAACAGCGGATGCAGGTTCACGGGTCGACCTACCGGTCAATATCCCACTGCGCTCGCTCAGTCTGGCGCGCCGAGGGTATTTCCGCATTCTACGTATCTTACCCCACGACATTATGCATGACGGTTCCTTTCACGGCTACGCAATTCATGGCCTACGAATCTCTCTCCAAAATCATGAATCCGCGGAAAGAATACGATCCGATTACACATTGCGTGGCTGGTGGCCTGGCCGGAGCCTTTGCGGCCGGCATCACCACCCCGCTGGACGTGATCAAGACTTTACTGCAGACGAGGGGACTGAGTCAACAAGCCGAGATACGCAATGTACGAGGATTGTTCCATGCTGCGTCCATTATCAAGAATCAGTTTGGCTGGAGGGGGTTTATGAGAGGTTGGCGGCCGAGAATCATCACCACCATGCCAAGCACCGCCATTTGCTGGTAAGGCCTGGTCCTCGTTGGTCCCTTTTCCCCCACGATAACAAACTAACATCGTCTTCAGGTCGTCATACGAGATGGCAAAGGCTTACTTCAAGAGGACGCTTCGAGAAGAACAACAGGCACACGCCAATAATTTATGATCGACCTCGTGCGGCCAATGATCGACGAACATCGTTTCAGCATTTCTGCGTCTCACAAGCAATGAGGAATCCAGGAGGATCTGACGCCGCCTGCGAACGTGTGTGTCAATGATACTTACATCTCTTGCTTGCGCGACCAAGATACCCAATGGAGGCACGTTTGGGAGGGAGTTGGCCGTGATTGTCGTACTCGTGTCCGCTGTCCGAGCATGATTACGACCATTCCGTTCAACGGAGCAGAACTTACTGGACCATCGCAACGGCGGTAGGGGCCCATGCATATATGCGAAAATAACAGGCGTTACAGCAGCGGGAGCAGGGCGCTGATACTGACCCTTTGTCGGCTGTCGACGGTCGGGGGAAAGGGATTTTGGGATAATACTGTACATCTATGGCATAACACCAAAAGTGGGATGGGTTGAGCGTTCCGACCAGCTGCTCCTCAGTCTCTTTCCAGCATCTGATAGACCAGGCTAATCAGCAATGAAAATTGAAGATGCTATGTGAGCATTGTTGGAGATCGTGCCTGTGCTTACCTTAGGGAAGTCCCTTCTGCTGTACACAGTCCACGTGCCTTGTTTTTCCGTGACTGAGATTGCCATCACGCATGTAGATTTTGTTTGCCCTTAGTGTAGACGTCTGCAATGGTACGAATACGTATCTGGCTGCCTTCACAAAAGGTCAAAGGGCCAGCCAAGTTTGATGAGGGCTCGTGTGACGGGCACTCTGCAGTGCCACTGTCCAGGTGACGTATGGGGGGCAGGCTGTGTACAGCGGGCAGCGGGCAGCGGGCAGCGGACTTGCTCCAGTGCCTAGTTCGTGGGTTGTCTTCGCGCATTGCCTTCTCGCCCATTATTCTTGACAAACTCATTCGGGGCTCAGCCTTCGTTGACTCGAGTCGCCCAAATAACTCAACAGGTGTTTTGCCACAATCTCGTTCTCTTTTGTCTGTCTGGTCTGAGCATGTCCGCATCCTCGCAAACCGTCCAAAATGTTGCGGAGCAAGCCTTCCTCGTCAATGCAAAAGACTTACGATGAGGCCTATCTCCAGTGTTCGACGGCGGTGTTTTTTGAAGGCCAGGTAATGAAAAAGCCATGTCCGACGCCTCGATCTCGCACTAATTCGGTGGCATTCCTCAGGGCAACGAGACCGAGGCTCTCCGCTCATGGAAGGCAGCGCTCGACCAAATCATTCAATACAAGGCCTACAAACTCTCGTCCAATTACTCGCCCAAGTCAGAAACCGAGCGGGCTCTGTACGACTCCTTGAGAGAATTGGAGATACAATGCAAGGAACGAGTCGATCTCCTCGAGGCTCTAAAGAGGAGTCGCGAAGAGCTGGGAATTCAAGCCCGTAAGGAAGACAAGGCAGAACAAAAGAATGGAGGTGGGAGCGGCAACGGCAGTGGAAATACGAGCGGTAGTGGCAGCAGTGGAAGGAAACGTCTCGGCAAGAACAGAGGGAATCCCTCGATTACGACGCCTCCAACGTCTGAGCAGCCTGGCTCGTGGCTTGGAGGAGAGACGATACCGCCAATGCAAATGTCCGAGCTGCCCAATGCCACTCCTGCGTTACCTCCACGGCCGCCACTGGGCGTCACCAGGAGCAGCGAGACCGTGGCATATGATAACACCTCTCCGATATCACGGATTCGGTCGTCACCTTTGGGTGCTCCGCCCACCTTGCCCGTCCCAAGCATGAAAGCTTCCCGGAGTCCCAGCCCCGATCATGGCAGGAAAACGATGCGGACGACACTACGCCCGGAGAGGAGGGGATTCATGAAGTATCGATCGACTTCGAACCGTGATAGAAGAAGCGACACTATGAAAGCAGCTGGTCTGGCATGGGAGTCCCAACCACGGAAGAACTCTCAACCCAACCAGAGACCAGATTCCGACCCCACGATCGAAGCGAGGCTGAGCGCTACAGCTGCAAGGCGGAGTATCGACCAAGATGCGACAGCCCGATACGAAGAGCAGCGGAAGTCAAATGCATCATCTCTCTTAAGTGTGCCCGATTACGTTTCACAGCATAACACGCGTGACATTCCAGGTTCTGCCTCTGCACCACCTCCATCCTCAATAAACAAATCCATGGAAAGTCTAAAACTGGCTCAGGATTCTGCACCTAACCTTATAGACCTTGACTCGGAACCTGAGAAGTCGCCGCCACCTCCGCCTCAGTATACGCCACCTGTTGGCCAGCCTGGTGGCGTAGCAAGAACCATATCTCCAGTCTATTTACCGAAAGCGCCAGAGATTACCTATCGAAGAGAGTACCCTCCCCGGACACATAACGTTCCCCAACCTCTCGCGAGAAATATTCTAGAGAAAGCTTACCCAAAAGTTGGATCCGGTGGTGGCGCACAGGGGATATCCCGGAAACCGGTGGGCACAGCGGATACGGCGCTTGAGACAAGAGGACGCTCTCCTCAAAAACGGGATGGACGTTCCGACAGCGAAGACGAGACACCTAAACGCAACCTAGACAGGCCAAGACGAGGTCGTGGCAATAGGACCGCGAGCGCGAATACAATCACTCCACCCTCTACGGATGGTGAGTCGCCGGAAGAGGATGGCTTGTCAGCGGAAGAGAAGAGGATGGAAAATATTCTGAAGAATCTACCAAAAGGAGTGGATGAAAATGCCGCCAAGCAGATTCTAAATGAAATTGTTGTCAAAGGGGATGAAGTTCGCTGGGACGACGTTGCTGGTCTTTTGGCTGCCAAAAAGGCTTTGAAAGAAGCAGTGGTATACCCTTTTCTTAGACCGGATCTTTTCATGGGGCTGCGGGAGCCGGCTCGAGGAATGCTTCTGTTTGGGCCGCCAGGGACGGGCAAGACCATGCTTGCAAGGGCTGTCGCCACGGAAAGCAAAAGCACCTTTTTTGCCATCAGCGCCAGCAGTCTGACGAGCAAATGGCATGGCGAATCAGAGAAGCTCGTCCGAGCCTTGTTTGCGTTGGCGAAGGCTCTGGCTCCGAGCATCATTTTCGTCGACGAGATCGATTCCCTCCTTAGTACCAGGAGCGGGTCCAGCGAGCACGAAGCCTCGAGGCGAAGCAAGACCGAGTTTCTCATCCAGTGGTCCGACCTTCAAAGAGCAGCAGCGGGCAAAGATACTACTGTGGGGGATGCTAGTCGAGTACTAGTGCTTGCAGCGACGAACTGCCCATGGGATATTGACGATGCGGCAAGGCGAAGATTTGTGAGAAGACAGTACATCCCCTTGCCCGAGGCAGAAACTCGAGAGACACAGATTCGGACCTTGCTCGGGCACCAAAAGCATGATTTAAGCCCGGAGGACATCGCTCGCTTGGTGGAATTGACGGAAGGTGAGTTCCCGAAAACACTCCTTCCCTTGGTCTTGTCACGTGATGCTCACCGCTCAATATTAGGCTACTCTGGATCCGACATTACAGCGCTTGCGAAGGACGCGGCAATGGGTCCCTTGAGACATCTCGGCGAGGCTCTGCTGTACACCCCTAAAGAACAGATTCGACCAATTCAGATGACGGATTTTGAAGCTAGTCTGGACAGCATTCGACCAAGTGTGAGCAAGAAGGGGCTGGAGGAATTTGAGAAGTGGGCCAGAGATTATGGTGAAAGGGGGGGTTGATGATTGGGGCTGAAACTCATTTTCCGGGGTTTGTATGAGGACAAGATTTGGCATAGCCGGAACGACGTCTACGAAAAGTCTCAGGACACTGAGACAATGACTGGGGGCCCTTATGCGATTTAGTTGATGACCGATGATACCGTATAGATCCAATGCATGAAGGTTAGGCGTATGTAGACTTTTATACCTCTTCACGGGAGATCAGGCTGACAAGGCCGGATATTGCCCAGGCTAAACCCAGTCCGGCCAAGATGGAAGCTACCTTCCGAGTTCTGAAGCAACGTCAATCATCCTTTTGCTCATCGTCTCTTAGTTCAAGGCCTTCCTTGGTAATGTTCTCTTGTGCCGCTATATGGTCATCGGCTGAATGTCATCCACATTTGTCACTGCGAGGCCCCTTCATACTCAATTGCAAAGGTAACGAGGGGAGAATTGTAATGCAATTCCCAGGTCATCATATCCAACCATGAATTCTTTCGCCTCGGTTGATCAGGAGACCTTAGAGATCGGAGTGATATCACTTAGTGAAGTAGCGTTGGTAATGATGGATTCAATGGCCAGACGAAAGCAACCTGACCCCGGACAAAGGTATGCCTTCCCAGCAGGTAACAGTTTAACTATCCTGAGAAAGGCTGCCTCGAAAAATGCATCAGCAACCTGGCATGGTCCAGCTTCATTACTATGAACAACTCAGCAGACACTAAATATTAAGATTGTGAAGATTGGCCAGGATCGTCCTGGAAGTGATCAGGGTGACGCGAGGATGCTTCACTGCACAGCACATGGACAAGTCAATTCACCATGTTTGTTGCCCATGTATAACCATATCTACCCGGTTCGCCTTACAGCAGCTGATTAGGCCGAGTGACACTATGAGCGGTTTCGCCAAGGTGAAGAGAGGGTGAAGTGACAGTGACCGGCAGATATAAATCTGCCGCTCAGGCCCCGAATTCCTACCGACATTCCTAGATCTTGCGATACCCAAACAACGACATCAAACTCAACCCTTCGCGACCTGACGCTCTCTGCCGATTTCGTCGAGACACTCCTTTTTGACCAGACCGGTAAGTTTCTCTGATTATGTGTTCCTCATGGCCGCCACGATTTCTATGCCTCGTCGTTGCCCCCTGGCGTGGTGCCGTTCGCAGCTTCCATGGGAAAGCCACAACGTTTCCGGCGCGTCTCGCGTCTCGGGTCGCTCCCGAAGTCTTTGTGCATTCTTGGTCTCCCCAGAAGCAGCCCTGTGGACAGCCCAGAGCTTCGTCTTTATTGTCTGTGCTTTGTCTAGTCGTCGCCCATGCCAACAAAGGCTGGCTACTTAAGCCGTTGATGACGGTGCATGGACCAAGTGGGCATTGACTGTCAATCTCCCTCTTCCCCTATACCAGATTATTATACGCCTGCGAGCCCCCATACAGGCCATCTCGAACTTCTCCTCCTCTCTAGACCGCCGGTCGGTGAGACAAATTGCTCACTACTTTCGCTTTCCACCGATACAGGTCCTGACACTCCTTTCGCTACTACAACCATTTCACATTCGTTGTCTCATCCACCATGAGAGCAACAATTTTGACCCTAGCTGCCTTGTGCGCACCAGTTGTGCTGGCTGTTCCCCATGGTAAGTCTCAAAGTCTCCGACGCGCTCCAGGAGGAAGCTTACGTGCGCCAGGAGGCAATTATCGACATCAGCATGCTGCGCGCCACCAGGTGGAGACTGATTTCGCCACTGTCACTGACGTCGTCACTGTCACCGCCAACAATGCTGTCGTCTGGGTCGACCAGTACAATAACATCCTGTCCACCGAATATCGTGATCACCCAACTCCTACCATTGTCGCATCGCCCTCCTCTGCAACTCCTGTGGTCGTGCCAACTGAATATGCTTCGGCTCCAGCCCCAGCTCCTTTTTCCCAAGTCGAGTCCGCCTCCGCTGCGTCTGAATCACCTGTGGCTGCCCGGATCTCCGGTCCCGGGTCTGCCCCAGCGGTTTCGGCTGCTCCTACTTCCCAGGTCTCAAATTCTTCTCCATCGGCCTCCGGTGTCACTCAACCTTTGACCACTTCTGATAGCGCCTCCGCGCAAGTGAGCAGTGCTACAGCCAGCGGGAACTCAAACAAAGGTACCCAGGGTGGATCCAATGCCGCAGCTGGTGGTTATGGTATTTGTTACGAACTCATTGGCAACAATGGGTGCAAAGATCAGACCGAAATGGATTCCGAGTTTGGTTTCTTGGCCAGCCAGGGGTACTCCAAAATCCGCTTCTACGACATTGGCTGTGACCTCGGTGTGGCCACAGCTGCTGCCTCTGCCAACGGCCTGCAAGTCATGCTAGGTCTTAACACTATCGGCAACGTTGTTGGTGATTTGGGCACACTTGTCGGCATGATCAAAGGAAATTGGGGCCCGGTTGACACTGTCGTTATTGGGAACGAAGTCGTTAATTCAGGCGGTTCAGCAGCTGCTGTCGTCGCTGCGCTCGCTGTGGCTCGTCCTATCTTGCAAGCTGCCGGATTCACGAAGAGTGTTGTCACTGTGGACACTTTCACCGCACACCAAAACAATCCTCAACTCTGTCAAGCATCGGATTTTTGCGCCGTCAACGCTCACGCTTTCTTTGATCCTAACACACCAGCCAATGATGCAGGCACCTTTGTCGACGGTGTGATTGCCCCTATCCAGGCGAAGGCAAATGGCAAGCAAGTCATCGTCACAGAGTCCGGCTGGCCATACCAAGGATCGCCTAACGGTCAAGCCATCCCGTCCCCTGCCAACCAGCAGACTGCCATCAATTCTCTGATGAATGCATTCAGTACGAACTCTAGCAGCCTGTTCCTCTTCCAGGCCTACGATGCCACCTACAAGGCTCCGGGGGCTTTCGGGGTTGAGCAGTACTTTGGCATTTATGGCCATTGAGTTGCGTTCGCACTGTATCTCATCATGACCACAATGAGGCTTTTGTTCCAGAGTACACATTACATCCGGTTGGACAGCTTTTACAAATTCGTCAAATGAACATTTCACCCTGAAACCCGGCGTTGGAGGCACTGAGTGGCAAGTTTACACCGACAACTCAGCGTATCCAAGGAGAAAACATACACGGTACGACAACCGCATGTGTAATTGTCAATGGTTGGACACACGATCGGCGATTTCAACAATGGGCACCTGCACGTTCATTACAAAAACCAATCTTGTCGCTCCTGCATGGCGACGGTGTTAACGGCGTTCGAGGTTGAACTCTATGTGACAGCCGAGCAGGCAGCCGAAGCGCTTTGCTGTTCCGCTCTTTCCTTTTCTTTTCGATTGCGACATGATACCCCCAACATCATTCGACCGTCTTGCTTGCGAACAACCGTCACTCAGTCTTCGGCTACAGTCCCAGGCCGCGATTGCAGGACCCACCTACAAGTAAGAGGTTGGAAATTGAGCGCAGCGCTACAAAACCTACATAGGGTCAGTGCGATCGTGAGTCCGATGAGGTTGTTGCAGCAGTGTTATATCGAACAGCCAGCCCATGATCTGCAGCACTGAAGCAACTGGCTTATGGCAAATTGCTTATCGAATCGCCGGCAATATCAATGCGCCAATATCAATGCAAGTCTCTAGTCCATTCTGCGGCTGGTGTGGCAGGATGATAAGGGTGGTTTTGAGAGCATTATATTTGACCATCAACCCAGGCATGCAGGCATGACCGGTTCTAGGACAGGATATGGATAGAGCTTTGGCTAATTGTGTTTCATCCCCACGAGCCATCATGTCCCTTTGCTTGGCCCCTAGATAGCATAGCTAGCTCGTAGCAATCACCCGGCGGAATGCCATGTGTATCAATCAAAGAAATAGTGTCCACGATGTTGCACTCTTCGTAGACATAGTTCCTCAATATTTCAGTCAAAATGCCGTGCCAGGCGTGAGACGGCGCGAGAGGGACAGTTTTGAAAAACATGTTTTTATTTCAAGTCACAAGGGGAAACTCATAATGGATGGATATAAAATGCATCATTTGAGTCAATTAGTGCAACTTCTCTCTCTCTCTCTCTCCCCTTCGTCTCTGCGACGACGTGTGTGTGTGTGTGTGTGTGTGTGTGTGTGTGTGTGTGTGTGTGTGTGGAAAAAGGGGACGGTTTGGGCTGCAGGTGGTGCTGACGTTTTTTTCTTTTCCTAGTCTATGTATCTGCACAAAAGTATTCTTTTGGGGAGGCCTCGCCTGGGGGCTATTAGGTAGTGAGTGACTGACTCGGACAGGGTCTGCGTGGGCTCCAAATCGACTGCGTCCTAGGTCACTCTCTGTACTCGAGGACCTTGCGCTTGATACTTGACAAGGCATGGCTATGGGCTATGGGGCTGTGGCCTCTGTCCATCCACGTCTTTGTGAAGACTCAATCGGTCTTATTTCTCGTGGCGCGGGAATAAAGGATATTTTGAACTCCTTGGGGCCCTCTGTGCTCATCGCCGACCCTCATCTTCGTCCATCTGATCCTGATCCGTCTCTTCCTCCTCGACTTCCTCGTCGGTGAGGAATGGGCTCCGTTCCAATTCATACTGCGGGCCGGGAACTCCTCGAGACGGCTCTTGTGCGGGCGGGGTGAGGACCATCCTGGGCATCTGGGCCATCTGCTGAGTTTGACTCTGCTGCACTGCCATTGCGCTGGTGCCCGGGCCCGTCATACCAGTGGTCATGGTAGTCAAGGTGACGGATGGGGTCATCGACTCGGGAGGCGTGGCCATCTCGTCAGCTGTCGGGTATGGAGACAACGTCTGGGACTGGACCAGAAGATGAGAAGGCGTCGGAGAGAGCGTTTGAGATTGCGATAGAGGCTGATCGGGAACGGCATCGTGGAACTGCTGGTCGATTTCTTCCTGGGAATGTGCACGGGATATCCCTGGTTGGTCGTGCTTGTTGTCTGCCCCGTCTTCCTCTTGGGGCAACTCATGTGAGGTGCCAGCTGCAGCATCATTCTTTTGGATTTCTTCCACCGTCGGCGACTCCGTCTTTCCCTCTTCTCCCGCAATGTCTTCCTCAGTCTCCTCTTCAAGCTCCTCCTCGATCTCCACGTGCTCCAACGTCTCTTCAATTTCTGCTAGGGCCATGGCCTGTGCCTGCTCTAATGCCTCGCTGACTGGCAGCTTCATCCGACTGTCGATTGTTGAGGCGGAGTCTGGTTCTGGAGGGCTGAATGTCTTGTCTACTGGCGAGAAGGGATTGGCCTCGATAATCCTTTCGCCCGCTGTTGTCGTTGTGACAATGGATGGCAAGTTGGAGCTGAACTTGCCAGGCTCTCTTGTGCTATCACCACTACCCTCCCTTCCTCGTCTGCGCCGTGCTTTTGGAGCGGGTGGGGGCTTCTTGCCGAAATGGTGGCCCAAATGGTGGCCCTTATGATGGGAGGGTACAGGTGGCGGCTCCGCCTTATCCTTATCTTTCTCCTCCAGTGCTGGTGGCGGGGAAGTTGCACCATGGTTATGGTGGTGGTGGTGATGATGATGGAATGGAATAGGAGGGTGACGATGGTGGTGATTGTTGGTCTGAGTGTGATCTTCACCCTCAACGTTCGGCGCCGGCTCCGTCTTCTGGACCTCCGTCTTCTGAACCTCCGTCTTCTGGACCTCCGTCTTCGCCATTTCGGCATCGCTCTCCATTCTTTCCATCCTCATGCGCGAAAGGCCAGATCTCCTTGCCTGAGGCGGCGGAGGTTTCTCCTTCTTTTGCATTATGGCAGCTCGAAGATTGTTCTTTAACCCTGGATTCCTGCTTGGAGTGATTACCCCTGGTTTCTCCTTTTGTGCCGCCACTTCCATCATGCTTAAACTCGACTGTCTAGCTCCTTCGAGTCGAGGAGTGAGATACTGACCAATGGTCAATGTGGAACCTTTCGATGAGTTTCGTTTCTTCAGTTTCCGAGGCGCTGGAAGAGCGGGCGGGTGAGCTTTTGAAGGGGAGGTCGGTGATGACAGATCAGATGCTCCGTCATCAGTGGGAGACTCTGCATGCACTGGCGGCTCGATTTCCGGATCAATGAGCCAGCTGACTCCTTCGCACCGCTTGACGAGCCGTTTGGTCGTCTCATCAACAGCATCAAAATGGCCCCAATGCTGCAAACCCTCATGGGAGCCGTTAGGATCGTGAAGCTGGCCTCCACCCAAGACAACCAACAATTTGCGGATCTCGTCCCTCTTATAATGCGGAGGATGCTGTAATTGGGTATGTTCGAGAAGCGGATACAGAACACGAAGATAGGTGTGGCGTAAGGACGATGCCTCTTCAGGCAGATCAAGCAAGTTCCGAATCAATATGTCAACCAAGACACGCAGATCGTTGGTATAGAAGTATTCGTAAGTGGGTGGAGTTGTGAAGAGGAGGTAGAGCAACTTGAGGGTCAGAAGCTGTAACGACGTTTCATCTGCCAACGTTAGGGGAAAAGAGCCATCACAGGTCACGCTGGATAATACCTTCACGGTTTAATAGCAAAATAATGTTCTCCCCAAAGGTCTTATACTCACTACCATGTGCAGATAAGACCTTGATCACCTTGTTGGTTAGAGGGACTGCAGCTTGACCATTGGCAGGGTCGTGAGCGGCAACCATAAACTGCTCATTGAGCACAAGCTGAAGGAACGATTAGATGCATGTTGAGACGCGGAGTAATAGGCTTACCAGAACTCGAATGGTAGGATAGTGATATGGATCATTGACGTCGTCCGACACCTGTTCTATAATCTCAAATAACATCTTGATAAAGTCATCATCGACATGCGCTGTGTTTAACCGGCGAAATCAGCCTTTGCCAATGGGTAGCGGAGCCCTCCGTGTCTTCAAATCGTCGACGTACCCAGGTCACCTATTTTAATCCTTTGTATGCGCGACATCTCGTAGAGCAGTTCCATAAGGAGTCTGTGGATTCCTTCGTGGCCATGTTGCTTCGGACTCGATATGAGGCGGATGAGTCTCGGGAACGCGCCCTCATCATTCAACAGCTCGAATGTCCTTTCGTTCAACTGCGCATGCGTGATCAGGAAGGATGTTGACACCAACACGACGTTAGGCTCGTCATCCTGCGCAATCCGTTCGTGTCAGCCTCCATTTTGGATGGATCTCATTTTTGCTCAACCAACCTCGATTAGACATTGAATGAACTGTCGGCGGATGTAGTCGGCGTGCGTTGTAAACAGCGACGACTCTTGGAGCTTGAAAGCGCATCGGCCGAGATCATTGTCGGTTGGAAGAAAACGTCCTGGTTCGAGTCGCATATAGTCAGCTTGTCTCTTTCACTCTTTCTTCCGTTGGGCAACGCGTACCACGACAGCTCCCTATGAGTTCTATATAGGATCGCAGTGTATCGTCGATGCTATCATGGGTAGTGCATTCTCGGGAGATTGTCTCTTCGAGAGCTGGGGAGACAGGTCAGTGAGGGCTCCTGCTCTGAAGCGCAGAATGGGTGTCCTGTACCGGTCCAAAACTGGTCCTCGTCCTCGAAGTTATAAGAAACCTCGTGTTCCATGACACGTACAGCTTCATATCGTCTTTCGTAGGGCCGTCGGTCAGAGGAACGGGTTCGGACGCAGATCAGTCGCTCCTCCTCATATGATCAAGTGCGCGGTGATGCCAGGACAACAGAAGCGACCAGTCCAACAGCAACACATGACGATGAAAAAGCTGAATGTCGGCACGGAAGGCGAGCTATCACAAGTCACGGTGATGGGTGCGGATTGATGTGGAGGTGAACTGATTCCAAGTTTGGGGTAGGATTCGACGAATCTTCGGACACATGACGCCCAGCGTCACAATCTCGACCTAAACGGCAACGGATGCACGTGGTGGAGGGCGGGCCATCAGGCTGGCGTGGATGGGCAGGAGAGCCACTACTACTAGTACCTACCTAGGTAGGTACCGAGTAGTCACCTACGAGTACGAAGGTTGCGAGCAATTACTGTACCTAGGCAGGTACTGGCGCAGAAATACGAGCTGGTACGGAGCCCTTGCGCGTGGCTTAGGCATCGGCCCGGATCCCCGCGGATCAAGACTCTTCGCCTGCCGAAGACTTGGTAGCTAAGGTTTTACTTGCGAGTACGAGGTACCGCGCCTTGCGCGCCCTATCAACGCCTATGGGCAGTGCTAAAGGACTCTGTGCTTACTCGGATTTGGAAGCTTCTGAGCCAACGGCCCACACGTATACTTAGAGCAGAGAGATCATAGATGCTTTACAATGCTTTGTCTCGGGCATCTTTCGACGCCACAGCAACCATGGTGATTGCCATTACAGATGGTTTTGATTTCACTATCAGTCTATATTGCTGCTAAGGAAACATCCAGATAAGTGCAAGATGGGCTACTCAAACCGTCCTTGCTTCACATACCATATACATGCAGCGGTCGTTCCAATGCTGTCTAAGGGTCGGCGTGCTTGTTTCAACCAAAAGTGGCCAAAGGATCCAAAAATCACTTGGGTCGTTGGAAAGGATGTGCTTCGGTATTCCTGTGTCCCTTCAGTTAGTCGGGCCTTTTCTCACCAACCTTCATGTCGAGGTTACTTACAGAACGTAATCATCCAGGCTGATCAGGTCCGGTTCGCTGAACAAGAGATAATAATACTTCAATGTCTCTGCGAGCCAGAAGGATTCCATAGAATCTTGCTGCTCCATCAATTGGCTGGTCACGTCTCTAATGCCAGCGTTGGCAATGTCCGTCCTCGTTGCCTTGTCGACGGCGTCAAACATAGCCCATCCTTTGTCTCTCCACGTCTCGTCTCCGGTCAGTCGGTACATAATGAACACCGACTCGATAGCCTCAGGACGAAGTCGGTAGTCACGCGCCTTGATTCGTGTATACCCTGGAGGCAATCGCTCCTCCTGTATTTTGGCTGCGACGTACTTTTCGTGAGACAGCGCCACCCGCGGCGTGAATAGCACGGGCCGCAGTCCTTCTGTTTGTGTATCCCCATCGTCAGAGAAAATTGTCTCTGTCCGTTCTTTCTCTCCGAAATCTGTCCGCGTATCTCTCTTCTTCAAGCTGGGGTCCGGTGTCATACTTGAGACATCCAAATCATCTTCGTCAGCCAGGACATAGTCCACACCAGCCAGTGATTGTTCGCGTAGCCTCTTCTGATTGATATTGTAAGTTTCGACGGCCCGCATTCTCTCCTCAAGCTTCGGGTCCAGCGCCTCATACCACCTGGTTTCATTCCACTGACACGAGATACGACTCTCGCAGGGCACGAGCTCGAATTCTTCGGCCATGACCCCCACGGGGGTGGATGCGTAAGCCCAAACGCAGGCGTCGGTGAGCTTCTCTGCAATAACCATGTCTGAAGGAATGTTGAAAAGCTTCGACGCTAGGCCGAACATGCCCCCTGCATAACATCCCAGGTGGGTGCCTTCATAGATTGTGACTTTTCTCTTGGCAGGATCTTTGGCCTTGGGCGAAATGTTTTGCTTTGCCAGAAAAAGAATATCATGGTTCTCCTTTGTCATGGGTCGGAACAGTAGTTCTTCCCGGACAATTTCCATGGCATCCAGATAAAGACTTTTGTACTGCTGGTTCAGCCCGCCAAGAAGGGCATATTCCTTTGGAAAGTATTCATACGTGGAATCCGCCATCGAGCCGATTCCATAAGTGTGGGTGGTCGAATCGGGCTCAGTCGTCAGACCCTGTGATTCACAACGGGAGTCGTCCACGTCCGCTTCATCCCATTCTGCATCGATCAGCGGCTTGCGCTTCTGTTCAGCTGCAGTCAGTCTGCTATCCCTCTGCGCCGATTCTCCGTTCCGGGGTGGTGATGAAAGCTGTTGTCGCTTAGTCAACGCATACGAGGGATTCTCGTCGGGGTTACGCCGATTGTCCGTGACTGCTCCCTCCGCTGCAAACAACTCTTCACGGCCATCTTTCGGCCCTACAGAGGTAAAGGCCTCCGATCCTTCACCGTCGTCACTTGAAATGATTTGGCGCTTTTTACAGCCGGACGCGTCCAGCTTCAACGGCCAAAGGCCTGGAAAAGTCGTTTTCATCTGCCACTCCTCCAGGGCATTGGTGACGCGTGCGATCGCATCGTAATACTTGGCTTCCCTGGTAATCTGAGCTAGTCTTGTGAATTCGACCGCGAGCGACCCTATTTCTGCAAGCACAGTGTGCTCGCTGGCCCTGTGTGGCCGGGACGCAGACGAGGGAGCCCATTTATAGAAAACCGCAGGCATTCTGTTGGGGGTATCGAAGGCGCCCATCAGAACATCGGCGAGTTCGACCGCTTTATCAAGCAAGACTGGGTATTTCCCCGAGCTTAGATCGTAAGCTGCAATCAGCCCACCGAGATAACGGATTGTCGTCTCAAAGAGAGGAATGTCGTCTCTTGCAGATGTCTTGAAATCGATCATGCCCACCGCGGCAACTGCTTCGTGAAATTCATCACGCAATCCCATGATCCAAAGGGTGTCCAGCGAGTCCACCAGAGTCGCGCCCCAGCCGTTGAACGGATCCCCCACATCTTTTGATAAGGGCTTGAGCTCATCGTGAGGCAGAGAGTAATTCTTATAGCTGAACCAAGCATGCTTGAATGCTTCACGGATTACGTTCTGTTTTCGAAGCCGATCTCTCTTTATCGAAGGCTTTTCCCTGCCAAAGTTGTATTGCACTTTGGGGAGTACCTTAGATTCGCCGGCTGGCAGCAGTATCAGACTCTCGGGCGGTATTGGGAAATGCTCTTCCTGTTGTGTCCAATATGCTCTCCCTGGCTCCACGGGCTGAGTTCTGACTCCATGCTCGCCTTGACCATGTTCACCAACTTCTTCACCATCAAGGTTCGGCTGCTTGGCGAGCAGCTCTTCTTTAGGCAACGTGGGCGGTGAATTCGGCCAAGGACTCGACAGCGATGAATCTGTTTCTGGTAGAGGTGGAGGGAGAGGAGCGTTTTCTGCGATCTCGACCGGTGGTAGGGCAGGATGCGCCGATTGTATCCGAGGCTCAGCGGGCACTTCTGGAGCAGAATCAGGAGCAAAAACAGGGCTAGAAATCTCCTCCGATAAACCTGTGTTCGGAACAATTTTCTTGCTAGCGTGATCGTTCTTCAATCCCACGAGTGCCTCGAGGGCTGGATTCTCCCAGTGATTGAACCGAGTCAGCTGGTAGACTGCCACGACGGCGACAACAGCCACCAGCAGGAACAACCGGTAGCGTCGGAGGCGCATCATCTTGCTCTGCGTACTTCAGCGGTCGCAATTTGGGTTATGGGAGATCAAGGGCCGTCGACACGGTGCCACGGCCCACATTTGCAGAGACTGCTTGAGGAAGGCAGTCTGCCGGACAATGCTGATACTCGTACAGAGCAAAGCCGGTGCCGCGAGCGATCATGCCAAAGAGCGCAGGATCGGAGGCGAACGAGTAGCACCACAGGCAATCCTCTTGGTGTACTCGTAGGGCAGAAGCATGAGCGAAAACCAAGACGGGAAGAAAGTTTGGCAACCTTGACTCTCGTAATCACCAGGTGGACATTAGAACAGGAATCACCGTTAGTCTGACAAGTTCATCCCACGACATGTACCGTCGATCAACACCTTCCGAAGTCGGGTCTGAAGGATGATGATGGGCATGATGGATGAGGAGATGGAGTAGCACCTGGTGGGAACTCATTGCGATGGTCTTGGATGGAGCGATGGAGGCGACGTTTTGGCCGCAAAGGCCGCCAATCAAGCTGCTACCTGTAAAAAGGGCCTGCATTGGCCTGTTACAGGGGAGCTCCTCGCCAATTCCTCGGCCTGCGGCACGCGCTGGCCACCTAAAAGCTGACGGTGTGGGGAGGGGGCCGGTGTATTTCTTGGCGAGTTTGTGGCATTTTGACCCCCCGGGGATGGGCCTACCTAGCCACGCCTAGCGACTAGCTACTACCAAAGAGCGGAATAACGAGAACAACACGTACACACGCTTGACACGTAAAGGCTCAGCACGAAACAGGCCCCATAACGCAATCAAGACAAAAGTGAAGAAACACAAAGGTGGGCCAGTACGCATGCAAATCATTTCCCATTTCCCTAGTCATGTCATTTTTGTCTGTCCAGCCCCCGCCCCGCCGCATACAAGGGCATCCCATCGAGACGGGGACAATACGAGGTACGTCGATCCATCATCAGGACTGTAGCAAGACGGTCGCCTTCTTCAGCCTCTGTTCCAACTCCACATGAAAGGTCTCGTGCCGTCCCAGATGCTGGAATCCGTAGATGGGCCTTTTCTTCAGGAAGTCGGCCACGATTGAAATAAACACGTTTACTTCTCTGACCAGGCTCTCCAGCAGGTCCTGGTCTGGGGCCGGGACAGCTGACGGAACCGGGGCGTCGAAGAAAGCAGGAATACCCTCGAAGTGGACTTGATCTTGCAGAAACTGGCACTCCATGTTCCCCAGGCCGTATTCCTCCAGTCTGCCCTGGCAAAGCCGCTCACACAGCCGGACCAAGTGGTTGATGATGTTCGAGAGCAGCAAGTGGCACGAATAGTCGCTTCGAACGGATTTACTGCGTAGTATCCTCCGTACGGCAGCGTTGCTCTTCTTCAATAGCTCAATCTGCATCTCCCGTGGCTGCGACTCATCAGACGAATACTTTTTGAGATGAGCGAGCAGTTTGATGCACACAGTCTCTTCATCTTCCAGCCCAGGCTCGGTGTTGCGGGAAAGTGGCACGGCATAGGTTGGCGGTTGTAGCTTCGATGGATCGACCGGGCACGAAGAGTGTCTAGTGAAAGGTCGAGCTTCAAGCTGGGCAGGCGACAGATATCGGGTAACTTGAGGAGGACTGAGTCCTGGGGTGGGTAAACCACTATTGTTGAAGAAACTTAGGTCGCTAGCCATCGAATAACTCCGGTTGTCGGTCATTTCCAAAGCGCCCAGTGAATCTGCGGTCTCGTCGAAGGCTAAAAACCCAGGATCACTGTTGACGACGAAGGAGGGCCAGGCAGGGGGCTTGCCGTGCCTCCTGTTTGCTTCGTCTGAGGTGTGGGTGGTAGCGGGTGACGGGATAGACTGTATAGGGAGAGAATTATGAACAATCCAGGACTGCGAGTTGATGGTGCCGATCGAGTCGTCAATGGGCCGCTTTCGTCGTTTGCCTACCACTTTCCCGACCCGGGATTCGCTGTAGACACAAGACAATCTTTTTTCACAGCATCTGCGACATCCTTCCTTATTCCCATCACATCGAACCTGGTTCGGCCATAGTCAGTGGAGAAGGCCGGCGGAAACAAAAGAGGGGAACGTATACCTTTGCCGAGAAGCAGTGGTTACAGGCTGCCCTGAGTTTGATGGGCTTGGGTTCTGTTTTGGACGCGGCCGGTGTCGTCTTCATGGACGACGAAGTTGAGGGGTCGTCGGTCGCAGAAGTACTCGAGGCCGAAGGTGCAGATGAAGATGGCATTGTTATCGTCGCCCTTGCACATATGTCAACGGACATGTCTCAAACCGGGAATGTGAGGTACCAACCCAGACTCAGCGACCATTGTAGTTTCTTCCAGAGATACCCGATGAAACTGGCGGGCTCAAAGAAATAATCCTGACGGGGTGCTCGGACAGCTTTGTTGCAGTTTGTATATAGAAAAGAAGAGGTCAAGCAAAGGGTGTGGGTTCAAAAGAGCGACGACGGGCGAGGGTACACTGCCAGGGCCTCCGAGACAAGTATTTCAAAAGAAGGACAGAGGCGCACGATGCTGACGGCTATAGCTCTCTCTATATCAAAGTTGGAATAAGCATGGACGTATTAATTGCAGGAAGGCTCAAGCCAGAGTCATGGATGGAGTAGTGGGCTGATTTATCCTTTCATTGCTTTTCCAATGTGGCCCCGGGACGAGTCAGGTTGAGATAGGAGCTCGACTGCTCGAGGTTAGCGGATCATCTTAGTGCTGTCAGTAAATAGTGGGCTTGATCCATTTGCCGCGTGGGATACGAAGGTTGTTGCCGGTGACGGGATGGCATTATCGGCCTCTCAGGTCAAGTGGCAGTGAAACTGCTTTGTGCCACGATGGTGCTTCCCATTTCATGTGTGGTGGTGATGGTACAACGTAGTCAGCACCAGGGTCCGCAAGCACTCCAAGGCGCAGGGGAGGCGGCAGATGAAGGACAGGGGGTTTTCATAGACAGGGGCAAACGTGCAAGGACCGGGGTGCTTTCGCATGCCCCCTTAGCGTCCAAGACCTCACCGGGGATCTGGGCAGCGCCTCGAGCAGAAGCGGTAACACGTCTGGGTCCATTTGGAGCGGGCGACTAGGGAGTCCACCAGTCCACCAGCCCACAAGCCCACACATACCCACCTTGCAGGATGAACCCCCAACTCGCCCTTGGGCCGTCAGACATCAAAATCTTCTCGGCGTCATTGACGAGTTCTATCCCCAGACCTGCCTAGAGGGTGGCTCGTTCGTCTGGGCTTCTGCTTATGCTAGCCAAAAGGCCGCAGTGCACAGAAATGGAGTTAGGTCATAGCGTACGTAGGTAGTAGGAGAAGTGGTAACAAGTAATACCCGTATGATACGCAGCTCGAGAAGGTGGCTTTCAGCCCGAATGTTGAGCTGGACGACCACCAGAGGAATGGCTTGCTGATCAGGCAATAGCCCGCCCGTGTTCCCAGCTAGGCATGCGCTCAGCAAACATGGCGCACATTTTCAGGAGTTGTGATTATGTAGCATCATAGGATTGTCGTCGTCACACAGTAGAGCTCAGTGCCGAGATATCCCTTTCGCCATCAGATTACCCCAGAAACAGGCTTAACGATAGCAATTCTCGATAATCCAGTTGAACTGCACGGAGACTGTGTAGTTTACCGCCATGCTGCTGGGTATTACCCATGGCCGTAAGTGCCTAGTCTGCAGAATGGCCGTCCGTCTCAACTCAATTGGAATGTTCGAACCAAAAAAAAACTGAATTTGATGAGAGCCTCTGACATTGTTGAATGTCTCGACGGTCCGAAGACGGTAGAGCAATACTGGCAACTGGCTGGCACCTCTTAGCGCAATGCTAAGGCATTGATGGCTACATCATCGTGACTTGGGTAGTTGTCAGCCCCTCCAAAAAGGCAACCAATCCATCTTTGTGCACTCAGTCGAAGCCGTGTCTTCACTTGAGTACTAGTACTTGTACTCGTACGTAAAGTTAAAGGACAAGGTCTTCTTACGGACGCATAGAAAGTGATTCTGATCATTCTGAGCGGCCATCTCCTAATAGGGCCGAGCGTATAGAAGGAGTCAGCTGTCACCCATCTTGAGGGTGGTGTATTCGGACGAGTACTCCAGCACCTTCCTCGACTACAAAATTACAGCAACTTGGGTGGGGGAAGGGTGTTGGGGGGCAATTTAGGCTCAGCCTCGTATCCCCTTTCACACACGCCTTTGGCGGACCTACGCTACGCCTTCTGGATTGATCTGGCCTAGTGAGACTGCGGCTGTGGCATTTGGGCATCCCCTATTTGCATCGTATCCATGAACAATTTACTACTTGAACTTTCAGGGTACGAGAGCCTACGAGTCGAGGAGTATAGTTGGGCTGAAAGTCACAGTCTCACCGTCTCTATATGTGGCACCGCTACACCCTAGCCGAAAGTTTAGTTGACGAGCAGCACAAGTCCATCCTCGTGTGAACAAACTCGGTAGTATGTATGATGTTCAGGACTGATGACGACACTGGTTGACCTACTCCATAACCTGTACTCGGTACCTCGTACGTGAACCTATACTCGCACCAGTCCAGCGTCCTGTGCCCTGACAATTAGGTAATAGCAGAGGCAACATAAGCCAGTAGTTGGGCCTTTGACCTTTCCTGCTTTTGTCTACATTCACATCCATTTTGCAATCTATTACCCAACGTGTCTTGCGCGTACAATTTGGCAAATAGGTCTTCAACAACAGGAAAAGGTTCACTATCGCCTAATCGCACATTTTGATCGACTAGTCTAACACTTCGGGTCCGCACCAATACGTGCAAGTGCGTGCTTTGTCTGCGAGTCACGCCTTCCATAAACTCAGATTTCTAGACACAGATATTCACGGGCGCAGCTGAGAGGTTTCTCGCCCGTACCACGCTTTTCCCCCCCAAAACCGCAATCTCGGCACTCGGACGATCTCTCACCCACCCTCACGTACTATGGAGGACGCCACACTCGACATCTTTTCCACCCTCCAAGATGAACTTTAGCCAGTTTCCCATTTTAGACGCCTACCATACAATTTTCGAAGACCAAGCCCCTGCGCGTGGCTCCGATCACCCCGCAATTCAAGTTGCAGAGTTGCGTGGCACTTTGTGAACCCTCCTTATGGTGTTAGGGCACGCAGGGACCGAAGACTGTAATTCCAATTCCAGAGCAACCCAAGGGTTGTCCTTCAGTGGTTTGGTGAGCAATACATCAAGATCTAGCACCCGCCTACGTGGGCGTCAAATACCTACACGGTGAGCAGCACTCCGTCTTGTCGGAGGAACCCGGTCAGTTTCGCCGGCCATCAACGTCGAAAGGCTGTCCTCATCCAGCTCGTTGGTCTGACGCATGCAGACATTTTCTGACTGACAAAAACAATAACCAGATGGTGCAAAAACAGAGTTAATGCGAAGCCTACGTGATCGTTTGATCCTTTCCTCCTCGAATCAGCATAGACGACATGTGCAATCCCATCTGACAGGGCCTTTCTCGCATCCTCCTTTGCTCGCTTATCCATGCACCGGTCTTTTCATTCTCAGCCGCAGGTTGATGCGGATCAGCTCTAGCCAGGTGGGGATCACGCATCCCGGTCTAATTACCAGGCGCTCTGGCAAACTAAATTGCTTACCTGATAATCGACCCCAGCCCAACTATTTATAAAGCATCTTGTGGTCTTGTACCTCGAGCTGCGGTGCTACATACACCTGGTCCCAAAGTATACGGACAATAAGCCAAGTGCTCGCTGCGAGTCAGTTAACGTTCGGCGAATACCTCACTACATAAAGACTTTGCCTTTTCTGACTGTTCAGGTCATACACTTGAACAGCATAATCACTATGGCAGTAGATCGGACCTCTGTTAACGGCTGCCGAGTGGCTTCAGGGCGAAGGACGGCCATGCTGTGTCATCACTTCAATTCCCCATCGCCTGCCTACTAAGCTCGCACCGCCCATGTTGAATGTCCAATTGGTGGGTTGCAGGGCTCACGAGCATCCATGACTGGTAGGACCGTGCAATATACGAGGGATCTCCAAAAACGGCTACTCGTACAACCCAGCCGCGAAACATTAGCCGAGGGAGGGCTAGCATTGCGGTGGTGGCCCTGTCGACCGCTTTGGTCAAGCGAGAAACTCTGCAACGGTGTCAGCCTCCAGGTTCGTTCCAAGAGGCGCACAGGCTAGTGTTGCCAGCATGCTTACCTTGGATGTTTTCTTGGACGTCCATTTTACAGCTCACCGCAGGACTTGACTGACCCTGTGGCGCCAAAGGTTTCAAGGGAACGACTTGGCAAGGCTTCTTCTATTCGAGAGCTACCCCAAAGAGACGACCGCATATTTCTGGAAGGGCTTAGGGCTCTTCCCAAAACGACCATGCTGACCAACTCAAGTTATCGGCGGGCTGGTCCAATGATAGCCCTTCGATGTATTTCCTCTCACTGCACGCCGCAATTCCCTCTTCACACCGCATAGGCTCCGAATCTGCCAGGCGTAGCAAGGTGGATAGTCGGTCTCACTCGTCCTGGCGCCCGTTAAAGTGTTAGTCCCAGACTGATTCATGGCGGAGTTCGAATTTTGGCAGGAGCCAGTCATCCAGTCCTCGATGTCACCGACCATTTCCCATGCTTGACTAATACGATCAGCTCTCAGCCTTGTTTGTGGAGTCCCGTTATATTTTGATGCAGTCACCTGGTCATCAAGTCATTTCGCTACCACATTATCAAATAGCATCAGCTAAACATCTGGTCTGTTTTACAAAGACAAGCTATTATCTGAGCAGCAGCAGGAGTAATAAGCCTGGAACATGATGACCCACAGTGAAGCATGTCGCAGGGCGTTGTCGCCGCTCTGAATTTTGCCCAGTTATGGGAGGATGAGGTTGTATGGTATATTCAATTCTACTTGATGATCTGCCGATCTGACGCACTCTGAAAAGGATGCAGTAACGTGTGACTAGAGGACCAGCCGGTCCATACTGGGGCCCTCAATATGGGTTTCAGTCTCGGCGTGGTTTCGAAACACAGTCTTTTACACCAGACTCCAAATGGTCAGGCTTCGAAAGGGGCACGATACGTGCTCCATCACGAAGCAGCAGCCAAGTCCAAGCTACTGCACGTCCATTCCAAACGTTGCCATCCCCAGTAAGCAATATATCATATCTATACTCATCTGTGGAGGTAGGGTTGCTATGCCTATAGCCAGACTGCTGACTGAACATTGTGGGGACAGCCCAGGTAGGTGCCA